TGTATTACTCCGTTGCTCGATAAAAATGAGCTAGCTGGGAATGCACAACGCGAACACTTCACCACACTTTGTGAGATTTCGCCATCGGCGGACCCCATAGAAAGGGTATCTAGAGTTGTACACTCTTGGGAGCTTATTTGCTCTTTATTATATGCTGCAAGGAGACAAAATTTAATGGAAGAAAGTGATGCATGGCATAGAAGTCTGCAAAGTACACCACTATCAACACCAATGCTGACCTCGACTTCCTTCTTCCCAGAGCTTCACCAGACAATCCGAACTCCCCGTAGCCAGGTAGGATCCCCGTGGACTGAACATGAGCGCTGTCAGCTCGCCTTTGTGAGGACTCTAGGTACAAGAACAACAGCACGTACAAAATGTCAGCTCGCCTTTGTGTGGACTCTAGGTACAAGAACAACAGCACGTACAAAAGGTCAGCTCGCCTTTGTGAGGACTCTAGGTACAAGAACAACAGCACGTACAAAATGTCAGCTCGCCTTTGTGAGGACTCTAGGTACAAGAACAACAGCACGTACAAAATGTCAGCTCGCCTTTGTGAGGACTCTAGGTACAAGAACAACAGCACGTACAAAAGTCCCAAACGTCAAGCCCATGTAGACCAAAGTAGACTCACGATGTCAATAAAGCGGAGGATAACGCACCATGCATTGATTTCATTTCCCCAAACAGAAGCGTCCTAAAGCCTAACAAACACACTAGTGATGCCACAGAATCGTAGATGCCTGCCAAACAACCTCGCAGACCTGGATGGGGCCCAAACGAATTCATCCAGAAACCCCGACGCATCACTTACCCATTGGTAATTGACAGCTTGCGGCAGTTGTGAATGGCTGTATACAGCCGGCGGTGGTTTGGCTGGTCGACTGCTCTCAAAGCTAGTGCTGAGCTTAGGCGAAGTTGCTGTCATCTCCTTGAGTTTCCTGTACAGTTCAGAGATAATCAGTGCATATAGGTCTTCATTTACTCAATGGCAGTTGCTCAATGCTCAACACAGCCAATTGAGTACATGTATGAGGCCTCATCAGTGCAGATACTGTGAGAAAGAAAGCTGGGCCTTGCCTAGCGCGCATCGCTGGCGAGAAACCCACCTCCAAGATGAAATGATCTGACTGCTAGTCATGGCGAGAACTTAAAACTAGGGCTGAAACAAAACCTAAACTCTTTCTCTCTTGTCTAATGTACATGTACTTGTGAAGCCCGTGCAGTAATCAGCCACATAACAGTCCCGACGAATGTTCGACTTCTTGACGTGACGAATAGTATTCAAGAGATTTCGGTCCCGCAGCGTACCCATTTGAATGTTCGGATATGCACAAAATACGTTCTACAAAGAGTGAAGTTGAAGACTCCACTCCACATTACATATACATGTACACCATTTACTCAAATCCCCCCATTTCGCCAGGTGTGTCATATCAGTGATATCACCAATGATTCTTTAAAGAGTGATCAACAAAATCGATATTCAAGGATGGGTGAGAGCTGTGTAGAAAGTTTTGTACGTACACATGCCACCCGAGAGCAAATTGCTTTCGGGTGCCCACGTGAGATTCTTTGTTCTTCTCCCCCCCCAACGATAGTACAGGAGATCGCACAGGAGATAGTAGCACAATTGAGGGTGTCTGTCAGTACAGAACCAGATACTTGCTAAGAACCCGACAAATGAAAAATAATGAAAGGGGGGTGCTTGCTAAGAACAACCCGACAAATGAAAATAATGAAAGGGGGTGGGGAGGGGGAATTGCGTACACACCTACCCAGACATGGATGTACTGATGTCTTGCAGTTTCGTTCTGATTGACTGCGCCGCTTGCTGCTGACTATTGCCATCACTGCGACTGCGAGTGAACGAGAAGCCCCGGAAGCCCGTTAATAAGGGCGCTGGAAGTGACCCACCCCTGTACACAACATATGCACAGTGACAAGAAAACCTTGTTCAAATAGCAGTTGGCTGAATTGTTCTAATTCCACGACACGACAGAGTCAAGGGAAATGCTGGGAAGATGAATTGGCAGTTCGAAGGGGAAAAAAACATTTACAGGAGTAATCCTGTACCCTACTGTTTGTCTACAACACATGCCGTGCTGAGCATGGCTACTTGTGAGTATGTGGTGAGTACTGTACACCACCAGTCAACAGACCTGTGCAGTGCGCTATTGGTCGGCAAGCTCGTCGTCATCAGGTTCGTACGACTATCGTCCATGTCCGGTGGCTTGGACCGGTCCGGACTGAAACTGCCGCGGCCACTCGTCTTGGCGCACTGGCCATCAGCAACGTCAGCAACAATGTGTTCTGCCAAGTCTATTGCCTGTGAGCGAGGCCGACTGTTCCACGAGTCCTGTAACGACCGTTCAAGCTGGGCAATGCGATCATTCTGAGCATGGGGAGCCACAAGAAAACAGATAACAGGTCTAAGAATACTATCTGTAGGTGAAAAAGCTAGTTCCTTGTTTGCAGAGTAAGGCCAGACAACGAGGCATGGGGAACACCGGTGCAACTTGTCGACAACTGACCTCATGACACCAGCATGCACGGTAGCTTAGAGGCACACGATACAGCGCATGATTGCATCTACGCACAGCAAGATGAAGATCCAGATACTTGTACATGATCATGGCATACTCAGTTTCTGCGCTCTGGCAGGAAAGAGACACGCACAGCCATGGAGAAACTAAAGCACATCAAACATGTGGTCACGCTCATGCGCAATTGAGCGCACATCGTACCTGACTATCAACACGGAGGAGTAGGCGCTGTTTCTGTTCCACTAGTTGCATCATATCCATGCTGTGCTGCTCTTGGCTGGACTCCAACTTGTCTCGACAACGTGCTTCCACTTCATTGGCAATGCGCTGCTTTTCCTCCTCTTGAATTTCCCTGATCTTGGACTCCTGCCGGCGCAAACAGGAGAATGGCAATTTAGGTCAGAGACAGGAAAGTGTGCACGGTGTATGAGAGAGCAAGTAGTGGATGAGAGAGCAAGTAGTGTTTGAGAGAGCAAGTAGTGTTTGAGAGAGCAAGTAGTGTTTGAGAGAGCAAGTAGTGTATGAGAGAGCAAGTAGTGTATGAGAGAGCAAGTAGTGTATGAGAGAGCAAGTAGTGTGTGAGAGAGCAAGTAGTGTATGAGAGAGCAAGTAGTGTATGAGAGAGCAAGTAGTGTATGAGAGAGCAAGTAGTGTGTCAGAGAGCAAGTAGTGTATGAGAGAGCAAGTAGTGTATGAGAGAGCAAGTAGTGTTTGAGAGAGCAAGTAGAGTATGAGAGAGCAAGTAGTGTATGAGAGAGCAAGTAGTGTTTGAGAGAGCAAGTAGTGTATGAGAGAGCAAGTAGTGTATGAGAGAGCAAGTAGTGTATGAGAGAGCAAGTAGTGGATGAGAGAGCAAGTAGTGGATGAGAGAGCAAGTAGTGTATGAGAGAGCAAGTAGTGTATGAGAGAGCAAGTAGTGTATGAGAGAGCAAGTAGTGGATGAGAGAGCAAGTAGTGTATGAGAGAGCAAGTAGTGTATGAGAGAGCAAGTAGTGTATGAGAGAGCAAGTAGTGTATGAGAGAGCAAGTAGTGTATGAGAGAGCAAGTAGTGGATGAGAGAGCAAGTAGTGTATGAGAGAGCAAGTAGTGTATGAGAGAGCAAGTAGTGGATGAGAGAGCAAGTAGTGGATGAGAGAGCAAGTAGTGGATGAGAGAGCAAGTAGTGGATGAGAGAGCAAGTAGTGTATGAGAGAGCTAGTAGTGTTTGAGAGAGCAAGTAGTGTATGAGAGAGCAAGTAGTGTATGAGAGAGCAAGTAGTGTATGAGAGAGCAAGTAGTGGATGAGAGAGCAAGTAGTGTATGAGAGAGCAAGTAGTGTATGAGAGAGCAAGTAGTGTATGAGAGAGCAAGTAGTGTATGAGAGAGCAAGTAGTGTATGAGAGAGCAAGTAGTGTATGAGAGAGCAAGTAGTGTATGAGAGAGCAAGTAGTGTATGAGAGAGCAAGTAGTGTATGAGAGAGCAAGTAGTGGACGAGAGAGCAAGTAGTGGACGAGAGAGCAAGTAGTGGACGAGAGAGCAAGTAGAGTATGAGAGAGCAAGTAGTGTATGAGAGAGCAAGTAGTGGATGAGAGGGTGTTCGAGGTGCTAAAGGCCATGCGTGCAATGTGGCCCTGTGCTCAATGTCCACCTGAGTTCCATGTACTAACTTAGGTAGTACCATGAAGAGTGCAAAATTATACTTCCAGCAGGAAGTGTACAGTCGTGCTCATTGATGGGTTCATGAAAAATTTAAAAAGTTAGCGCCCTGCACCAGTCCACAGCTCCAGTGTTTTTAGGTCTGAAGCTGCACAGCGCCCGGCAATAGTTGTATTTCTAAGGTCGGATTTCATTGAGCAACACTTTACACATACCGGTGCTTGGCTCCGGAGATGACCAACGCATTACAAAGAATCTATGTGATTGCGACCGGAGGATCTAGGTGCAAAGAAACCAATTCCAGAAATAACCACCCATCCGCAAAGACAGCAAGTTATGGCCTGCCAATGTGTGGCTCAAAGCTCACGCCAGAAAGGCATATAAGCTATCATCACAAGCCTGACCTCAAAGGCTAGCTTGAAACATACCAAGTCACCGCAGTTGATGCGCAGTGTCTTGCAGGTCTCCGTCAGCTCATCCACACGACGCCTGCCATCAGCCATTTCCTCGTTGAGCAGCTGAATGCGAACAGAAACGGATACAAGTTCTTTCACGCGCTCTCCCTTTGGGCTTCGCCAAAGAAGGAAATACAACTCAGCGTAAGGCAGAGCAAAACATGGCTGGTCTGGGACATGCAGAAAACAGAGATGCCGGCTGCCCAACGCCATGAGTCATAGATGCACAAAGAGCACGACAGGACAAACAATAGGAGCAAGCGACTATGCAATGCCCGAGCAGAAAACACCCGGCATCGTCAGGAGCTGTAGACTTACGGCGTTGGTTCGCTCCATTTTGGCTAGGTTCTCCTTGGCCAGTTCCTCCGCCCGACTGCACTGGAACATGACATCTTTAGCCTGCTGGCATCTGAGCACCGGTAGAAGTGGAACAGCAAGGTACATGTACAGTCTTGTTTAGATCAGATAGAAGTCCGCCACACCAGATCACCAGATCAACGGCTCGCTACGGTGTAAGCAACAGTCAGACCTTGCATAACCGCACACATCCGTTTTCCACAAAGATATCCGGATAGGCGAGGGAACCGGATAGTCGAACACACATGCTGTATGTATGCATGGCATATGCTGCAAATTGGTAACCAACGATTTTCTTCCGGATGCTGAGGGATCCGGATAAAAGAGGACCGGATAAGCGAGGTCTGACTGTACAACAAGGCCAGGTAACCACGGCACGTAGAGCAATACAGACATCTTCTGCAATAGATGTGTTCGACTGCTCCGTTGTGTATTTCACATCATCATTGTTTCATTTCCTGAAGATGGCAAAGTGCCGAAACTTAGTCTTAATGAAATAGTGTTCTCCCCCTGGCCCCCGCCACACAACAACGCAAACTCTTGATTGTATCTTCAATACTTAAGTCTTATATTATACCAACAAATGACGAGGGCGCAGGAGGAGAGAGACAGAAACAAGACTCGAGAAAAAGACAACGGAAAAGACACGAAGAAACAACCAAGAACAAGCAGTAATATTGCGACGACAAATCGGGACGACCAATCAGGGACTAATACGTACAGAACACATGACCAAGACCAAGACAACCAGACCACGGACGAATCACACATGACTCTCATTCCCAGACCAAACTAGCACTGCGCATGTACAGCATTCACTTGACAGTCACTCTCACACAGACGGAAGCAGATCCTCACACTCTGACAACGCGTACTCTTGCATGCACCACATACCATAAACATCACACATCACACCATACTCGTGCGTACACTTAGACCACATATGACATCAGACACTGGACTCCACAAGACAAGAACCAAATACAACAACATGCGTAAATCATAGTCGTAATACAATTTCACAACATTAATGAAGGTGGTTCAGATTTGCAGTGCTGTGGGAATGGACGTGTCCATCAAGTATATTTCTCTACAAGTGAACAAACAGCCTAGCTAGAGCAAACCTGAGAATTTGAGTTTCAATCGTCTCCACTCACTCCAGTCGAGTACTACTGTCGTGGACATGGAAATCCGGTCGCACGTCTAGCGGCCCCAGGGCGCTGGCCACGCAGCCATGGGTAAGCGGTTCACACATGCATCTATGCGCTGCAGCGCGCTGGTCCCATCGGATCAACATGACTGACCCAGGGGACACGAAAGCGGTCGGACATCGGACATTTTCCGACCATTTTCGATTCGAATCCGGCGCTTTTTTTCTTGAACGGACAATCTGTCCGATCGAAATTCACAAAAATTAATAGCGTCGCTGGGAAAGAGAACGGCTGAAGACAATGGCGCTCTGCCTGGGAAGAAGTCTCACGAAGTGGGAGCAGCAACCTGTGACAAGAGGGTTTCACAGCATGACAGGGCGCTGTCCACTTCAGTGTAGCTCCAGTTTGAGCGTAGCAAACGATCGAGGAGTTTTGAAATGAATTTTTTTCGCTTTCTCGCTACAATAGGAACTATTACGCAAGGCGCTTGCACAATCCGAAATATTGAAAACGTCCCTGTTCCAGGGAAACAAGGCGTCAGAAATGTGTGCCAGCTTGCGATATGCCTCTATCGAAAGGAACAGTCTTCTGCAAATCCAGTCAATTACGCTCCTGTTGCACAGGCGCTGTGCAAGATCGACGGAGCAGCAGCAGCGAAGATTAGTCAGAAATTCAACGTCGCGTAGAAACTACGTGCTGTTCAAAGAGCACATCGCGTTTGCAAAGATGGGAGCCTTCAGCCAACTCGAGTAATGACATGTTGTCGATCTTGGAGCTGGCAACAAGAAGTTAGAATGGGCAAGCAGGTGCCCACTTTGTCTTTTGTCGACTGCGTAAAAATGAATGTCTTTGATCTGCCGCTGAAAAACCAGCTCAAATCCGAAATGTGCAGAAACACTGCACGCTCATATCACAGTTGCTATGTTTGCTGAAAAACGCACAGTGATTTGAATCAGTGTTACACTACTTGAGATCTGTGTGATGATCATCCTTGATGTGACCAGCAATACCGCAGTGTGATGTAGCATGTACATGCATGTGTGCATTATGCAGCGGTGTCGTGTGTGAAATTGGTGAAGACAATAATAATTATTTTTTATTATGAGTACCAGACTTGTAAAAAAATCACAGTGTCCGGCCATGTCCGACCGCTTCCAGAAGTGGCAGGACATTGTGTCAGAGCAATTTCGAAATCTTATCGTGTCCCCTGCTGACCTGTGCACTGCATTCAACGTTCTGTACGCGCTGAGGGAGCCGGCCCCGGTCATTCGACTGGATTTCCATGTCCACGACAGTAGTTCCTAATAATAACAATAACGACATTGAGCGCCTCACCTGATATGCAGATCTTCATGCTCTTTGATCAGTACTTGATGGACTTCCTGAAGGGTTTGCAGCTCTTGCGACACGAGCTGAAGGGGAGAACTTGACTCTACCGTCATTGGCGCGGGATTCGTCGGCAACTGGAAAATATTGCTGGTGCAGAACAGAAGGGGCAAGAACAACTTATGCACGGGCCGCAAGTCAGCAACGCGAGGCGAGAACTCCATTGCAACTCCGTGTTTCATGTGACCGTTGATCGCAAATCCCTCTAGTCTGCACTGTTAAATCAGATTCACCTTGCATGGAAAATGACCACACAATGCCTCATTACTACATCAGCAAGTGTACTTCATACCAGGGAGTATTTTTTTTAGTACTCCATGCTTCATACATGTTTGCGGAGGAGGACAATCTAGTCTCCATGAAAAACGTTCTCGCCGGTCAGTCTTTTCAACTATTGACAAACTTTGAAAGGCTTTAAGGCGCGTTCAAACTACCGATAAAAGTGACCGATTGGGAAAGTTTCCAAGGTAATTCGATCACGTGACGTTACTGACACGTTACCGGCGCAAACGTTTTACTGCCGTGGCTGCTGCGGCGGTAACTGCATTCCGGCAGTAAAAAAGGTGCTCAGGCTGGGGGAAAAAGGGAAAGTCCCTTCTCAGTGCCGCGGTGAGAGCTGCAAAACTTACGTAACGGTAACGTTAGTTTATCGGTAGTGCGAACGTCCTTCAAGGTTTATCGCCATTCACGTTTTCACCAAGCACAGCATACCAGTGTATACACAGTGACTCAATTGTGCATAGACTGTAATACATGAAAATAAGAACGGTCTAGGCTAGGAGGCTGCTCCCCCCCCCCCCCCCCCCCAGTTCTTCCGCGACCGACAGTAGTGTACATGTAGTGAAGGTTGACAATACGTGTACTGTATTAATCATAGATGCCACTTACATATTCTGTCCAGGAGGTCGGGCCACCTGGGCACGGAGCTTTTGAATTTCCTCATCCCGCTTGAGCAGTGTACGCTCCAAGCCTCTCTTGGCCTGAGGCACGCACGCACGCATGCACACACACGCACACCCCCCCCCCCCCCACACACACACAGGTGCACGCACGCACGCACACACACACACACACACAGACACACACACACACACAGACACACACACACACACACACACATACATGTACAAGGACAAGATATGCAGAAGGACGCTCTATGAGCAAAACAATGTGACTGTGAGAGATTATCACAGGCCAAGAGCAAACAGAAGGTAATGAATACTATAAAGCAACGCTAAAGAAATCCTTCAAAGACTATTACCAACCGCAAAAACATTTCGGCTTTGCCGGTGGAATCTTGTTGCTGTCTTCGTACACGATCATACAGAGCCATGTGCGTGTGTATGTGTGTGTCACGATGTGCGCATGTGTGTGGGTGTCACTGTGTGCACGTGTGTGTATGGGTCGGGGAGTCAAGTACTCTGCAAGGACAGCAGAGTTAAGTGCTTGTAACAGATGGACTTCTCTCTTACTCAAAGGAACCGGCATGTTTAAGGCTGTGTTTACATGAGGCGTTTCAACCCGGGTCGAGTTTCAACCTGCCATGAACACAGACAGACTGGAGCGTTTACATGACACATTGCGTTTTTAACCCTGGTTGAAATCAAGAAATCGTACCATCGTACTTCTGTGCGTATCTCGTGCCAGGTTTGAACAGCACTGCACAGACGAATTTTGCGCGAAAGCATGCACATGACCATACAGGACTCTAGAAGTGGACTTTCGGCAGCATACCAGTAATTGACCCGGGTCAACTGTCTTCATGTAAACCCCTCCCTATAGTTTTCATCGTACCGACTTTCGACCTGGGTTGAAAATTCTCATGTAAACACAGCCTTATAGGCCATTCACACGACGTGCAAACACATGCACGCGTGTGCCAAAGAAGTCACTTGCAAACCGTGACCCAGTTCACATGGTGCAGGGCAAACTTTGCACGCGTCCATGTAGTGACGTCCTGAAAATGCCGGAAATTTTAATTTTCCCTTTTGAAATAATAGTTCACGCACTACTACAAAGTACATTTGCAGCACGCTCTTTCAACAACCGATACACTTGCTCGCGGGCAATGAAAAATCACGAGCACAAGCTGTCCCCACGGGATAGCGCGATTCCGCGGACACGCAATTTTCCGCATTATTGGCTTTCATCCGCGTTTTCGACAAAGTTTGCATAAAAACCGCATTATGAATGGGAATGTACAAGAAAACAGTACAGGATGTTGAAAATGTACAACGTAGTGCCTGCCCACGAGTTTGTACGACTTTGCCGCATAATGGCCTGTTTTCGCCCGCATAATTATGCGCATAATTTAAAGGGGAAGTTAAGGCAAAAATTAAAATTTCACCAGTTGTAGTCTTCGGGGTGCTGAGTCGAATGGTCGTGGTCCGAGGAAGCTGAGACGCTCCCTTCCTACTTGAATCCCAATCGAACTCGCGTACTTCCACCGAAACTGGGTGACTGCGCCCTACTAGATGGGGATTTGTATGCAAAATGTCACTAAAAGCGCCATTTCGTTCTTATAAAGGCATGGATGACCGCGATTGGCCCATATGTTGTAGTCTTTTGGACGCTGAGTCGATTGGTTTTGGTCCGAAAAGGCTGCGATGCAGCGTTCCTCCTTTATTCCCAATCGAACATGGTTGAAGAAGCGGTCACGTGCTCCTGCGTACACCAGTCACCTGGTCACCGTGCCTGCAGGGTACAACTTACTAGCCTGTTTTGACCTTTTTTGGGTGCAGTCCTGTCACTCGAGTTGAACTCGAGTTGAACCTTGGTGTGAAAGTTGTCGCCTGCTGGCGTGGTGACCAGGTGATTTGGGCACCCAGGAGCACGTGACCGCTTCTTCAACCATGTTCGATTGGGAATAAAGGAGGAATGCTGCATCGCAGCCTTTTCGGACCAAAACCAGTCGACTCAGCGTCCAAAAGACTACAACATATGGGCCAATCGCGGTCATCCGTGCTTTTATAAGAACGAAATGGCGCTTTTAGTGATATTTTGCATACAAATCCCCATCTAGTAGGGCGCAGTCACCCAGTTTCGGTGGAAGTGCGCGAGTTCGATTGGGATTCAAGTAGGAAGGGAGCGTCTCAGCTTTCTCGGACCAAGACCATTCGACTCAGCACCCCGAAGACTACAACTGGTGAAATTTTAATTTTTGCCTTAACTTCCCCTTTAAGGATTTTGTCCGCGTTATTCTGTGGGGACAGCACAAGGGCACCGGGACAGCACAAGGGCCCCGGGACAGCACAAGGGCACCGGGACAGCACAAGGGCACCGGGACAGCACAAGGGCCCTGGCCAAGTTCAAAAATCAGTTGCACACGCGTGTCCAAGTTTATTGTATCCGAGTAAATATCCTTGGAAACGGTACGATAAAAGTGAGTTTGCACGTAGTGTGAATGGCCTATAAGTAGTAAAACTCGTTCAAACGCTCCATATTTTCAAATCGCGTACTAACACGTTGGACTTCCACGAAAATACTCTCCTAAGGCTGTGTTTACATGAGGCGTTTCAACCCGGGTTGAGTTCGACCTGGGTCAAGTTCCAACCAGCTATGAACACAGATTGACTGACGCGTATACATGACGCACTGCGCTTGACCTGGGTTGATTTCAACTCTCCCCTTGGGGGAGGGTTGAAATCGAGGAATCATACTACAGGTGGAATCCTGATACTTAGAATATGGCTTATTAGAACATACTGCTTAATTAGAAGTTCCTTCAGAGACCAATTTCTATCAATATGATTTCTATAACAATTTCTGATAATTCGAACCTCGAACTGGATATGTCCGGTTAAGGAATTTGTAACTAGGATGTTGAGCCATAAATAAATGTAGAAAAGAAAAGGACATATGGATACGAGTTAAGGGTAACTCTCCATCACTGTAACTGGATACTATATACAGTCAGAAAGCGCAATAACTAGGCACAAAACTGACAGAGTACTGAGACATTCGACGTCCTGACACCTAGCTTCAACACATCTCCGTAGCGCTAACCGACAGCCTTCCAACTTGGAAGGTTCGTTTTCGCAAAGCTTTTCGCAAAGCTTCCCCTTTCTTCCCCTTTATTTACTTATCTTTGATATTTATGACCCACCCAAGTTGGGTGGTGTGCTGCTTTGCTGCTTCGAGTTGTGGTTAGACCGCTTTGTCAAATATCGTGCTGGTCTCGTCATCGTCCAGTAACAATCGACATTCTTTATTCCGTTGGGACTGTAGCTTTTGCTCGTTTTCGTTGCGCTTGCCTTCCCCTCTTTGGTCTTTTCATAACCTTGAACCTTCCAAGTTGGAAGGCTGTCGGTTAGCGCTACGGAGATGTGTTGAAGCTAGGTGTCAGGACGTCGAATGTCTCAGTACTCTGTCAGTTTTGTGCCTAGTTATTGCACTTTCTGACTGTATATAGTATGCAGTTACAGTGATGGAGAGTTACTCTTAACTCGTATCCATATGTCCTTTTCTTTTCTAAGGAATTTGTGCTGATAATTCGAAGTTGGTAAAGCATAATTAGAAGTTCACTTTATCTCGACTAGTTTGAGGGAAAGACACAAACGGGAAAAGTCTGAAGAAAAAATTGACTGTCACCACCAGGACTCGAACCAGGAACCCTCGCTTGTAGCTAGCGATGCTCTAACCACTGAGCTATGGTGTAGTCGTCATCCCAGCAGAGACTGTTCAACATTTTCTTCAGACTTCGTAACTCACACTTCCTGTGAATCCCCACACAGGCAACTACACTTTATTTTCTGCAAATCAGTTTGGTTGCATGCGCAGGCAGTCAGTACCCACTAAAACTGTGCCTAAGGTGCGTAGTGCAGCGCTGTGTGCTGTGGGTACATGTCCGGATAATTAGAAGTTTTTCTCTGGCATTTTTGGGGTTCGAATTATCAGGATTCCACCTGTATCGTACTTCTGTGCGTATCTCGTGCCAGGTTTGAACAGCACTGCACAGGCAAATTTCGCGCGAAAGTATTCACGTGACCATACAGGACTCTAGAAGTGGACTTTTGGCGGAATATCAGTAATTGACCCGGTTCAACTGTCTTCATGTAAACACCCACCTATTTTGTCCATCGTACATACCGTAAAGTACTGGCAGAGCGCCCGGTCTCGCGAGAGCGCCCCACCTTGATTTTACAGCCAAGGGAAGAAAATCGTATGGCAGAGCGCTACTAAGTTTGTACGGTGTGAGAACCTTAATGTACTAAGGTCACACGTGGCATGTTCTTATGTGGAGCTCGCATCCCCTCGAAGGTAAACTGGGTACGGATTGACTGCACAACGTTCAACGTGCATTCTTTTGTACAAGGTTCGTGTCGTAGGACCTACAGACAGGAAACCACCTGCACAAGATGATCACGAAAGGACGAGATGGTGGGGCGCTCTGGTGGTACTTTACCGTACTAGTACGTTCAATCCGGGTTGAAAATTCTCATGTAAACACAGCCTAACAAACGTAGTAGACACCCTTAGCAAACAACGGTAACGCTATTTTTGTTACGGTACTCGTACCTTGGTCACCCAGATAGCGTTGTTGAAGCTGCAGCGTAAAAACGTTATGGGGGCTGATTTATCGTTGTGACAAACGGTATGTTTTTTGGCCAAATATTGCATAGTCCGTACACATTTCACCTTGTATCGCGTATATGGTGACATAAATAGTTGTACCGCGCGAAATAAAAGCGTGGCAACAGTGTACTAAAAATAGCGCGCATCTTGCTAAAGGTCGAATCCAAATCACAGTATTTTCCCCCTTACGGTAATACCGTTACAACATAACGTTTTTTGCTAAGGCTGTCATCACACCATGGTACAAAGCGCTGCGTCTACGTTCACGTAAGGAGTTTTTGGTCGGTTGTCATGATGATCCGTATACGGGGTGAAAACGGGAGCAGAGGAAACGGGAAACTAGACGTGGCATGGAGAGTATACCATGGTATACGACTTTTTGTATGAAAGTGCGTATCTTCCCCAGCCTTTTTCCGAGCGAGCCTGTAGTTCGATGGACGTGCGTTCAAATTGCTCCAAAAACGTGACCCCCGCGGGTACGCTTCAAGAACTGTGCCTGTCTGATGACACGACCACCCGTTTTGGTTTTTTCACCGTAGACGTAGACGGGAGTCGGAGAACGTAGTGTGATGACGGCCTAAGGCTGTCATCACACCATGGTACAAAGCGCTGCGTCTACGTCCACGTAAGGAGCTTTTGGTCGGTTGTCATGATGATCCGTATACGGGGTGAAAACGGAAGCAGAGGAAACGGGAGACGAAGACGTGGTATGGAGAGGGGGGGGGGGCATACGACTTTTTGTATGAACGTGCGTATCTCCCCCAGCCTTTTTCAGAGTGACTCTGCGATTCGATGTACGTGCGTTCAAATTTCTCCAAAAACCTGACTGCGTGCACGCGTCAAGAACTGTGCCTGTCTGATGACACGACCATCCGTTCAGGTTTTTCACCATAGACGTAGACGTAAACGGGAGTAGGGGAACGTAGTGTCACGGTGATGACGGCCTAAGGGTGTCTATTATCGAACTGTACGTACATGTACTAGTAGCTGTACACACACTCTCTCTCTCTCTCTCTCTCTCTCTCTCTCTCTCACACACACACACACACACACAGGGAGTCCAATGTGATGTACTTATCTTACTCTTTCTGGTTGTACACATCGAAACAGCTCAGCAATCATTATATTAAAACTGATTGTCCCATTAATGATTTACGCGGGGGTTTCCCCAGTATCAAGATCTAAAAGTCAGTACCTCCGAGAGGAGATTGATTTGAAGATGAGAGCCTTCCAAAGTACTGGGCAAGGAGCTCTCGGGCTCTTCTTCCTCCTCCTCCTCCGAATCATGCCGCAGTGCAATGTTTTCCTTATCCTGCTCGCAACCAGCAGGTGGACAAATACCTCCAGCAGCCTGAACGACGGCAGTCGATAAAGCTTCCATAGCAGCGACTGAGTCGATAGTCAGTCCGAGGTGCTGCACACCTGTTTTTAGCGGAGCAACGGGATTTCACATTCATTGACGATTTTTTTGCTTTCAGCAGTTGTTTGCTAGTATGTCCTGGACGCAAATGCCGTGGCTAGCTGCTTCTGGCCGTCATTGCATTGCCATTGAACAGAAAAAAAGCTGAAAACGCTTCTTTTACTCACACATGCAGGAGGTCTGGAACTTCTGCGACTGCACTGGAAGTGGAACATGCATGCATGTTAATTATTGTTATGTGTGCCAGATGCAGAACCAAAAACAAAACAAAAATAATTGTTTCATACAGGATTACCGTACATGTCATGTACAGATTATAGCGGGATTCACAGAAGCTTTTTTGCGATGCGACACACGATGCGACGCGATCTGCGACGGACGCGTGCGATGCGAACTGCATGAAGCTGAATGCACCGTGATCATGGTGTTGTGAGTGTGTACTTGTCGTAGCGTATTTTGCATTTTCATACATGGTCGTTGACTCGTTCTCGTTGTGGGGCCGGGGGCGACGTATTTGTTTCCTACTATTTTTCGAAGTCTACACCGTCAAGTGTCATGTACTTTACTGGCACACACATGCGGAAAGGCTTCTTCCTCAGACCAGGGACTCAACGGACTCCACTACCCTGGTCTTGTTTGTTGTGAATCTGTGAACTCAAAGTTCATCCCGCAGATTTCTGAAAGTCTGCACTTCCTGCCCGTCAACGGCCGTGCCATGGCATGCACAGAGAGCAAAGGATTTCTCAGCTGTTTCTTCTTCCTCGATGGCTAACACCGAGACAATTTCTGTGCCACCTGGTGAACATATGACAATTGACGACACGTTTGATGGGTCCGCAAGCCGCAGTGGTTTCACCAGTCTTGGAAAGGATGAGTCTATCCACCGACTAAACAGCCTCAGAGAGAACTTTGAATGTGACTCCCCCAGTGACAGCCTGAGTGCGGACTCTCTGTGCGGGGCCGGTGACCAGCTGACGAGCCGTTTGGATGTGTACTGCGGAGGAACGGTTGGCAGTTCAGGAAGTGGAACCGCATCGATTGTTCGTTTGAAAAACGGCATTATCCAGTGGGCCTCGCTGCCTAGGAACAAGCGCAGCACAACTAACTTCAGTGAAACGCAAGCGGATAACCTGCTGGACTCCGCCTCCAGTTTGTCCCTGGATTTAGTCATTACTGCTAAGCTTAGAGTAAAAACCAACAAGCAGGGCAGGGAAGAGGTCACTGGGTTTACTGTGCTGGGAGCCCAGGCCAACAAAACTGGGCGCAATGGTGGCCCCCTGCTTAGCACTTTGACAGTCCACTTTACTAAGGCTGCAGCTCGAGTAAGCCAGGAATGGGTGTACACCATCAACAACGCCCTGTTGGTGACGGGCCTGAGGCCACAGAAGTTGCTGTTCTTCATCAACCCGATGGCGGGCAAGGGAGACGCAGCGCTCATCTACCAGCAGTCTGTGCGGCCATATTTGAAGGCGGCCGACATCGAAGCGGATGTCATGCTGCTCAGCGGCCCAGGTAGCATGCGCAAGTACCTCTCTGACCCGACTCGCGACTTGCACCAGTATGACGGCATTGTGGCAGTTGGCGGCGACGGAACAATCAATGAGCTGATAAACATCTCCATATTCAGAGCAATCGAGTCGAAAGTCACCTCGGTCTGGTCCAACGCGGACCCCAAGGACGATTCTGTGCCCGAACACGAGTTCAGCATTGAGCAGATTCGAAAGAACCAGCATCGGATAGGCGTGATTCCGGCAGGATCGATCAATCACATTGCGTGCTCGGTGTTTGGCTCGGACAGTCCGGCTATAGCCACCATACACACGTTACTCGGTGGTAGCTACCTCCTGGACGTCTGCTCGTTGTCCACACAGAAACGCTTACTGACATTCGGAACAACGGCTGTATTCTCCTGCCTGCAGAATGGATGCAAGTCGCCGAAGAGCCCCAAGCGCAAGCTGCTTCGCCTCTCTTCTAGCCAGCAATTTACGACAATGAAGTTGGAGAGAGACGGGTATGTGTTTTAGCAGTAGAACTGGGGTTAAGCTGTCGTGCTCCTTTTGCCTTGTCTGTGACCGTACATGATAGAGTGTAGCATCAAGCTTACTGGCTTTACGGGTAGACTCCTGATATTTGAATATCGTTTAATTAGAATAACATATACATGGATGATTGCAATGTAATCAAGAGTACATGTTGTACCCTCGGTGTGACCATGCAAGCACTTGACATATGCATTGTGTTGTGGATGCACCTTTGGATGATTAGACTCGGTGTCGGCGCCGGACAGTCAGTAGTTTTTCCTGGCAATTTGGGGTTCGACTATCAGAATTCCCCGGTGCAGTTGGCATCCACCATAGCATGTAGACAAGAAGGAAACCTGTAATGAAGAGCGATGCGTGCGTACGGAGATCACCGCCCCGTATAGATGGCAAGTGTGAATATCTACGCAGGGTATTGTCACTATTGTGTGACCTAATCCGGCTGTGGCGTGCACGCGTTGTATTGTCGTATTCCTGCAGGGACTTCTTCACAACGTTGAGGTACCAAATGACCCATGTTGACCGGGTCGAGAAGAACAAGTCTTCCGAGACATGGTGAGTTAGAGTACTGCAGAGTGCAACATGCACCGCAACGCTTTGCAAGCTTTAGTGATGGTAGTCTACCAGATCCATCCAGCTCTTTCTGCTGCTGGCAGAATCCGATGTGAAATTCTACTGTTGCAGACCCTATAGACTAGAGCTTCGCGTTGCTGAGGGGCATTTACATGTGGTCTTGGTATGATTCATGTAGTCGCTAGTTTGCTGATATGAGTACAAAATACAAATTCCATGGCCACCAAAGCGTATCGCATCGCAAGGTAGGCATATCCACAATCCAATGACAGCTTTCTTGCGATGATCATGGTAATCAAACTGATGTCGATTACAAGGAAAGAATGGTCTTGGATTCCAGATTTACCTGCCCTGTAACATGGATATGCGTAGTGGCTGTGCAACACAGTACTGTTGGGCGCTGAAGAACGGAGTGCCGAAGAACGATCAACCTAGAATTGCACCAAGCACAGCATACTAATGTATGCACGGTGACTCAACTGTTGCATAGATTGCAGTGCGTGAAAAGAAGAACGGTCCAGGCTAGGAGGCTGACCCAGCATTTCTTCGGCGACCGGCAGCACTGTGTTATCTCCGTTGATGCTGTAGCTGCTTTTCAATTTCTGTCTCCTCGTTGATTACCGGTCATGCAGTTGTCACAGTGAAACTTCAATAAACGCACATGTATCTCACAGGGCTGGAGCAACCTGTACCTTGTAGCCGACGTACTGCATGTGCAAGGTAAACGTATGACAGGTGCAGTTGTATCATTCTGCAGGGTCCTCAAAACTAGTACTTTGAAGTTTATAGCCCATAGTATCAGTCCCGCCAACCTTCCGTACTTGTACGGAAAAGCACTCCTTCATCCGCGCCACGGAATTTTAGCGAAGTGGTATGGAAAATTTGAGAGGATCAATCAGCTACAGCTATGTATGTAGAAGCATGGCAAGCACAGGGTGAATACAGTGAAGCCTGTCTAAGACGACTGCTCAAGGGACTTTCAAAGTGGGGCCTCTGTAACCAGGTGGTCTCCTTATCCAGTGCCATTTGACTGGAAATAGCACCCCCTGGTACTGGCTGCAGTGGTCTTCTGGGACAGGTGGTCGCCTTATCCGAGTGGTAGCCATGACAGGTACTGTAATGAATATTCCTATGCCAAAGCGAGTGCATGCCATGCTTCGACTACATGTAGCACAAAAGGTCATGCCCTGGTATAAGTCACATATGTGTGCACTAGCAAATCCAGCCACCGACAAGCATGTGAGTGTCAAAAACACAATACAAGCAATGCACACGGCAGTGCACTGGCAATACGCAAAACGCTGCAAACTACGGAAAATCAGAAGTCGCCGTACTCAAAACAAACTCAGTTAGTTGGCATCTCTGTGGTATAGTATGGCCAGAGAACTTTATACATGTACTGCGGTTTCACTGTACCAGTATTAGTGTTAATCAAAATATGGTTGTGCTGATGGCATGGTGTTAAAGCATGCACTTAGTGCCTATTGCTCATGATGAAACCTTGCTTGTGCTGGCTCCTTTTTGCACAAACATGCCTTGCTAATAGATTTGCTGTTTTTGTTTCGGATGGTACATACACGTAGGTCCACAGATCCGAACCCAGGTGAGAATTTTGAGATGAGCAGCTTAACTCTCTCGCCGCTGATCGAAGTAGCCCCGGGTACCGACAACCTAAGTGGTAAGTTGCTTGTGTCTGCGCAAACAGGGGTTTTGCTTGGAGGAAGGGAGTTATTGGGTATCAGGCGCTGTCTGCCGGTTGGCACAGGCATCCGGTCGGAGTAGGCTGGGGAAGTTTGTGCCTCACGGGCACCATATTCCTTGTGCTGTCCAGGCCCTACTGTCATCGGGGATACAAACTCCGTTCCTAGCGTGACAAACACCTCGCCAACACTAGACAGCGGCGCGAGTCAGTGTTGCGCATGGATATGTTGAGCTCAAAGGTTACAAGCAACTGACTTTCTTATTATGATCTTTGAGATCACTTCCACTATTCCTTTGTACCAATGTAGTGAATTCTTTATATCAGGATATCAGGCCACCTGCCTCGTACTGCGAAAGATAAAGAGCAGTACGAGGCAGGTGGCCTAGTTTCCGAATACGTAGAAATTCTCCGTGAAGTCCGAATTAGAAATTGCAATTCTTTATGTTCTTTGTTATTTGTTCCTTCCTATGTTCTTCTTAGCATGTCCAGTGACCAACAAGTGGGGGACTCTGACGGGCACCTACGGATATCTTTGCATTTTCGCGACACCCTACCGGGATCCTGAGCATCCAACCGCATCCTCTCAGGAAGGTTTACTGGATATGATACTGGCGGATACGCTTTCTCGCAAGGACTACTTCAGGAATGCGTTGAAGAAGAAGTTCACGTCTGACCAGGTACCGGACAAACTCATGCATTGCGAAAGCACGCACAAGATATGATTAAGCCTCCATATAGGTGCATGTACAAGCTTTTGCTAATTCCAATAGGTGGGGAAAGCAAATGCAATGTTGTTCCTAGCTAAAAGCTTACGTCAAGGGTTGTAATCTCTGTTGTGTGAATTGAATTATGTTTATCAAGACATTCCCTCGTCAAAAGCAAACCTAATGGGCTGTAACGAACCTTGTCCTTTCAGTGCTACGCAATCTCTGGGCAGCTAACATGTATTTTAGCTGTCTTAACACACTTTCAACCTCCTTAGGCCTCATGAGCAGTGCTCAGAGTGACTGTCAACCAGTATATCTACTTAGGATTGTCGGAACAGCAGGCACTGGGTGTGAATACACTTTACCTTGGCCTAGGACTTTTAAAGGAGTCATTCTTCTATCTATGTATGGTTTTGAAGCAGAATGCGTCTGGAGCAGTGATTTGCCACGCCCAGCAGGCCTTCATCAACATCAACGTTCCGAGACAGAACACTGCTGGTACGATGCCAAAGTTCCGCAAGAAGGCCTCCACGATCTCCTCGCCTCTGGACATGATCCGCAGCCGGCGTCTCAACTCCGAGGATGATGATGTAGTGAACGAGACCGACTCGGCCGAGGTGTCATCCACCGGGACAATCTACAGCACCATTGAAATCGATGCGGACGTGACTATTGGACACCTGAAGGGGATCTCCTGGAGCTCGATTCAGACCCTGGCAGGGGAGCCTGGTAGCCACACGCCCACGCACATTGGTCCCGGCAAGTTTGCGTGGTATATCGACGGTGATCCGATCGCGGCAAAGTCAGTCCATGTGTGGTAAGTGCTTGCATGACATGTCAACTGGCCAATCATTATAATATCTCGTAGTCCCATGGTACAGTAAGATTTGGGCAATTTCAGGCAATCAGCGAGCGTTCTGGGCGGAATATAGTCAGCGATATACACCTCTCGGTTCAAAGATATACTCCGCTCGGTTCACATGGGTCACACCAAGAGCAATTATATGGATTATAGTATACCATCCGTACCCTGTGTCTACCGTGTCCCTCACATTTCCCTCGTGCTACGCACTCGTGAGAATATTTGGCAGTGTACCCCTCATACTCATGGTATAATCCATACGTAATAGTCCCTGCACTACCCTAGACAGGACAAACGGAGACTTTTGTGACGAAGTATCATGCACACATAAGAAAGTTGAAGAAACCCATTAAGGTGGCTCGCGCCTATTTCTAAACTCGTCATGTCACCTCACAAGAAATACCCTATGTTTGTGGCAGGGAAAGTTGAAATTGACCCATGCTGATTGTAGCAAAAAAATTCGCATATGCGTGAGCTGGACCCTTCGAAACTGGAGTGCGCTACAACTTACAAGCTCACAGCGCCAACTCCGCATGCACTTTTCTCGAGCGTAGGATACGCGAGAATCTGCGCAGAAGACGAGTTTAGAAATAGGCGCGAGCCGCCTTAAAAGCATTAATAGAGTACTGTAAAAGCCATTCTTCTAACGGGGCACATACCGTAAAATTCCGTAAATAAGCCCACCCTAGATAACGCCCATGTCCAATAATAAGCCCAGTTTTAGGCGGTGTACACTTCAAGTCCGCTTTAGCGCCCATGCCCGAAATAAGCCCTGGGTGTAAAGTGGACTCAAAATGACCAGCGCGCGAGCGTGCGTTCGCGTACAAACTGTAGAACATTTGTAGATCGAGTGCGTGCCATCCAACTGCACGCAGCACCGTGCAGAACTCAACACTGTCACGGCACGCGAGGACAGTGATGTTCCGTTGGACTGTAGCTTGTACTAACCATAGCAAGTGGTTTACCTATCAAATCTGTAATTTATCGCTACATTCTTGGTTACGACCAAATTTCCAGCTGTGGTTTGATGTACCTGTACCGCGCTCAGTATGAATGGTGGTTCACTGAAACTAGTGGGTTGCTGATAGATTGATCTTCTGCAGATTGCGTCCGAAATAACGCCCATGCCCTAAAATAAGCCCATGCCCAAATATACACCCGGTTTTTGACGCTCTGCAAAGTATACGCCCGGGGCTTATTAACGGAATTTTACGGTATATAACGATTTCCTAAAATTGACTGCTTTACGTGTACCAAAGGTAACGATTCTCACTCATTCTCAACGCTCAATAACAACAATACTCTATCGATTTCTGTATAACGATTTCTATTTTAATGACAGATTTCTCCTCATTACCTCGTTAGAATTAGCACTTCGTTACGAGAGAGCTTGGAAGCTCAGGGCCCTACGCTATGCTTTTTTGCCTAGCTGCCTAGCTGATCATTGGAGGGTAATACGACACCGTCTACCACCTTGATGACCTAGGCAAAAAAGCATAGGGATGTTATAAATTTTTCATTTCTCCTTCTCTTTTTTCTCAAGACAACCTGGGATTCGAACCCGCACTATCGCCCGGCATGCATTCCCCTGATACACTTCGCATGCATACTCATTCTTCCAAGTTGCTTCACGTTATGATCTTGCATTCGAAAGCCCTATTTGAATACTGTGGCCAGCTGTCTTTGATGGTACGGGACAGGTACGGGATAGCGCCAGGCATGCCGACGGCACAAACAAACACGGACTTAAAGCTGTGTGGACCCTGGCTAGCGCCAGACGTTACTAAAGTAACGTCTTTTGCATAGCTACGGGAATAAATATAGCTTTCACAGTATGCTCTTCACTATCTATAATTCAGAAGCAACAACAGCTACTGCTGGACGGAGAAAGTGTAAACAAACTGCTTTCATTTCTGACTGAGTCACTCTGAATAATCAGTAGCTGTTATCACTCAACAAACCCAACTATCAGATGGGGAAAAACTGAAAGGTATGATGAGGAGCATTGCCAGCAATACCTAATTGCAATGTTTGTCCGTGTCTTGTTTTCTGTCACTTGTCGTACACAGCATGCTTCCGAAAATCGTCAATTTCCTGGCAATGCCGCTGGACCTGGTCGTAAGTGTGAAATGAGTACGCGTGTCGATAGTAGTCAGCCAGTGCATGCCGGCCTTGGCGTGGACGTTGTGTCCGTGCTGCTCTGCTTGCGCTGTGGATTTTGCGTTGTCGGTTGCCAGCTGCTCTGAGCCACGCGGCACATTCCCAATAGGGTGTTCCCATAGTTTCTTTTTCTCTAGTGCACCGCTGCAGTGCATTTCCATTCTTAGTCTTGCAGTACCTCACAACTATATAAAACACATGTTTAACTCCTGCCGTGTGGCTGAGCAGGCCATTCCTGTTCAACAAGCCAGGAGAGTGAACTCAACTCGGACAGTAGCAGCAAAGTGAAAATATTATCAAACTCAGTCCTTCTTTTTAGTGCTTTTGTTTCATAGAATTGCATCACGACCAGCCGGTTTATGCCACAAAGCACTTAGAAATTTAGCTAATTCGTCTGACGCTCTGCTACTCCTCTGTCCGTCTCCAAGTCTGTTTTGGCTTCTGTAGCTCCCACGCTCTCACTGTCTTCTTGCCCCCTGCTGTACAATTTCGTCCCCGGCATAGACGTTGATGCATGACGCTATTTTGACACAAATATTCCGATTATCATTCATGTGCACGTCTCCTCACACAGCACATTGCATGCGTGTGTGTCTGCCTCGGTGTTCTTTCTCTCTCAATGCGTCTATGGAGATCCCGCATATATTATAAAACTTTAGTTTTACCTCATGATTGTGAGTTAGTTGCTGCCGCTACATCTTTCTCCCTTCTCTTCTCCGTCTCTCTCTCTCTCTCTCTCTCTCTCCGCTATTGCTGTTGCTTGCTTCCCTGCCCGTTTGACAGCATTGGGCCAGGAGGAGGAGGCATGTGCACCGTTGCATACACTAAAATGCAGAGTGTGTCAGGGTGCTGCTTGTTCTTGTCTCGTGCGGCTATTGACTTCTTCTCGCTGCACCTTTTTTATTTTAGTGTCAACTTCTGTAGCCTTTTAATCGGGCCTATAAATCCTTGTAATGCTGATGCGGCTTCTTTCACCGTGAGCTCGATGCGCCTGGCTAGCCTTTGTGTTTGTTTGTTTTGCTCTTGGTCATCTTCACCTGGACGTGTTCACAAGTGATGGACAGGTACGCACACACACACACACACACACACACACACACACACACACACACACACACACACACACACACACACACACACACACACACACACACACACACACACACACACACACACACACACACACACACACACATATGTGCAGTTAATTCAACTTTGCATCTTTGGTGTTTCTTTTTGAAGCATGTACAATTTATATTCTTTCATGTTCGTCTGACACGTTCATACTGAGCTGTTCATGCACTCCTCCTTTGTTTTGGGACAAGTTGCTTACGCTTGCAGGTGCCATCTGCTTATTCTTGATGTGCTTGTTGGCTTGTTTTCCGCTCATGATCTTTGTTCTCTTTCTCTTTCTTTCCGTTAGATAGGTGCGGGCTGAATTAAGTATGTGCTGAATAAATTTCTCCATGCGGACTCTGAGGGCTTTGGAAGAGTGGTTGTGAGCTTGTCTGTGAAGCATGATGAGGTCCCAAGCTCAAGACTGGTGCTGGCAGCAGGTAGCGTGTACTGTTCTAGCAAATGTGGCAATGCATGCGTAGACCACTGTACATTCAATGGACTTTGCCGACACCGGGCCATGCCTATGGTCAACTAGATACTTGGAGTGAGGGTAACATGGGTTCAGTAACAGAGTTTTGCCCCCCCCTGTTGCCGTGTTGGGCATTGTTTGCGAGGCTTACCACCTCGCCTCTGTATGCATCTGCCACCTCGCTCCATGCATCCACCACTGTGGTATCAGGACCGCCGGAAGCAGTTTTTGATTGGCCCGGCGATACCATATGTACATGTACATGTACCATGATCTTTCATACCTTGTGCATGATATGGTGGCTACGTACATGTATAACCTTCTCACCGGTAAACATACGTTGGTGGCCAACAAAGTTGGTCCGGTGATTGACAAAGCGGCCCGGTTCTGGCGGGCCTGGGTATCATCATGGTGCTGGCCTGGCGCAAGCCGCAGACACTTCCTTTAGCTCATCGCGTTTCTCAGTACATGTTGTGGCTGGTGAGTGGTGACAACGTGTGCGTCCACATGTTTACCTCATCACTACCCCATGCTACAGTATTTTTTAGCTTTGTGGTTCACCACACTACCAATGCGACATGCATGCATACTGCAATCTCGCCGGTAAAAGTAACACCAAGTGAAGAGTACATGTACATACTAATTATGTACTCTTCACATTATAATACCCGGGCCTTGGTCTGTCCCTGCGGGAATTTGCGGAAAAAACTCTCGAAAACTTGCGCAAGAAATTGCGGAAGAAAGCAACAAAAAATGCGACGAAAAGTGCGGAATGATGCAGAACTTGCCAGGAATTCGCGGAATTATTTACAGAAAATTGCGGATTTGGGCCAAATCACGAAATTTGTTGCATCGTATATCTACTTGGGAGTAGTACGAGTCATACTGTGCAAATAACCTACAGGATCATGGAAAAAACTGCGTGAAAAGTGCATAAAAAGTGAGATATAGTGCAGAAAACAACAAAAAAGCGCGGGAAATCGCGGATTTTCCTGAAAATCGCGGGTTTGGGCGAAAATCGCGAAATTTGTTGCATCCGTGGAATCGCGATTTCCTGGAGGGACAGCTTGACTTGTTCTTTTTGTGTACATGTGTTCATGTGTACATGTGTTGTGCGTCCTTTTCTAGTGTCGCTTGTGCCATCATTCATTTTGTTTGGACAGTCCCCACAGACTCAAATCAAGCATATCAATTCTGAGCGACAGCTACAGCCGCGCAGGGATTACAATGCTAAGCCGGGAGAACCGTATTTTTACTATTTTTAAACATACTCCCTGAAATCAGGGAGTATATAGTGGTGGCCAAAAGTTTTGACCCACCCCATGGAATCGTCAGTACAGCTCAGCCTGGCTCCTAAACACGCCGTTTTTTGACTTCTTTGAGGCCAAAGCCGATTGAAACTTGGCAAGGACACTAAAATTTGCAAGAATCCGTTGTCAACTGAGATTTGTGATGGATCACCATACATTTGGGTGGGTCAAAACTTATGGCCACGTGACCAAATTTGGTCTACCGTACCGTACGGTTTCAAAAAAGTTGTCAGGCTGATGCACGTGCCGGGAAAGTTGAAAATCAACACTTGACTTCTCACTTTGAGAGTTTGCGATATCAAACTTGATTATTTTGACGACGGAGATGGTATTTTCAGGCAGGATAGTGAACCGAGGTCAGATTAGCAAGGATGTGAGGGAAATGGTCGTGAAGCTGAGTGTTGACGGTCTCTTTTGGCGTGGTATCGCTCCTCTGTTGGATTTGAGTAATCCTAGGCTACGATACGTAGAATTGTCAGGAAACAAAAATTGACTACATTTCACCTCGATCAGACCGACCAAGAGAGACCAGTGCAAGACAAGATCGCCACCATATCATGAAGTCAATGGAGAATCACCTCAAATCCGTCACTGCCTGCGAGCTGAGATGGTGAGCGACGGTGATAACGCGATTTCTGTGCGTTCTGTGAGACGCAAGTTGCAGAGAGCAGGCCTACGTGGCTGTATGGCCATCAAATGGCCCTTCATCAGTGCTGTGAATAAGGCAAAACGCCTTAAATTTGTATAGACGCACAAGGACTGGAGCAGTGATGACTGGTGGTAATTTCTGTGGACTGATGAGTCTAAAATCAACCTCAAGGGCTCTGGTGATGCAGTTTACGTCAGGAGGTGGACAGGATAGGCTCTGGCTGGCACATGCACCCGCAAAACTGTGAAGCGCCGCGACGGCAATATCAATGTATGGGAGCCATGGCCAGCAACGGCGTAGCGCGCATTTGCCGGGTGATGGATACGATGAATGCGGACCAGTACCTCGCATCCTCCGAAAACATGATGTTGCTGAGCATGATGGAGCTTGTGGGTGGTGTGGGTGGTGTCTTATGGCCGCAAACGCTCCGCAAACAGAACGGAGGCGCGGCGGGCGGTGAACGGCATCACCGTCCTGACATGGCCCCTGCAGCCACCTGACCTCAATCCAACTGAGAATCTCTGCAAAATTGCTGGGCTGAAGCAGCACGATGTTGAAATCACCCCCAGAAACCAGTATGAGCTGTGGCGAGTGTGCCGGGAGGCATAGAAGTTGATTTCTCCTCACGAGCGCAAAAAGATCGTCGATTCAATGCGGCAGTGTATGCAAGAGATCATCAAAGCCAAGGGAGGGGTTACTAAGTGGTGGATGTATCTGAAATAGGCCAGGACTGACTTCTAGACTTTAGTTTAGTTGAATGCTTTTTAGAAATCACACTATTCCGTGTATCCTGTTGGCGGTTTATGATAGTGCGGGCGTTGGCCATAAGTTTTGACCCGCCTTTTACATATACTTGACCACAGTAGTCCCCAGATGACTCCGTCTTTCAGCATTTTTCATTTCTACTTCACTATTCAGCCTGATTCACAGGTCCTCGACCAAAAATTTAGTAGCTTACAGCCCAAATCTTCAGAATTCGAAAAATCTGCATGGTGGGTCAAAACTTTTGACCACCACTGTAAACATGGTAAAATACTAATGGAGTAGTCTACTCCTTGTAGTTGTACTGACACTGGTGGAAAATGACTGTGTCAGTGACTGACTGTGACAGACCAGTGTGTGTGTCAATGTACATGTACATCATGATGATCATAAAATACCGGTATTTTACGACTCCCTTGTGTAGATTCACTGAGCTGGTGAGTCGCATATCGATATGGCCATATGGTCGAGTGTGAGTGTGAAAAGAAAAAAATACTTCCTCGTTTATTATGCATGATAGGCCTCTGCGGCCTTTGGACAATCCTTAAATAAAATCAATCAATGACGATTGTCATGATGACCTCATAAAAGTCATATCAGTGCATGCATGCAGCAAGAGTTCATGAACTCTTGCCACTGCCATGCCATGCGCCAGTCTTGACTCTTGGTGCATGCAGTAGATAGCAGTGCAGTACATCGTTCGTACATATACAGAAACCTTGCTTGGTAGTTAACATGTTTTTCGATTTTGACAGCATGTTACAAGGCGAGGACGCGTAGTGCTCCTGACTACAACCATAAACCGGTTGGCAGAGTCCCGGTCTTGCGACCATTTGAACCGTATTGGGAAAACCCAGGTTCGGACCCTCGTTACTCTACGGGTTGGTAGGATTTTTATAATTTTCGTTTTTTTGTGTTGTAGAAGTCGTCGTGTTGCCGCCGTAGTATTGTTCACGTTGCTGCCGCTGCAGGGATCACGTCTGGAAGGATTTGTGATGTTATTTTCTTGTCTTCCTCTGTAATTAAATTATTTGTGATTTATTTCTTTTTTCTTTTGTTCTTTTGTTCTTTTTCTTTTTTCTTGTCTTTTTTCAACTTCTGCCCATGGCGTCCTTCTCTCAGCTCGTCAGCTGTAACAGTCATAGTCATCACCATGACGACTGTTGTGAGAAGGTGCTCGCTGCCGACGAGGTTGGTGATGTCCCGACGAGGCCATGGGTAGGCCTTCACCACGTCGGAACACCCCGTCTGCACGTTGGTGTTGTGGTGTGGGTGTTGATGGACGTCGTTGATGTTGTTGTAATAGTTGTTGTCGTTGCAATTGTCGTTGATTGTTGTTGTTGTTGTTGTTGTTGTTGTTGTTGTTGTTGTTGTTGTTGTTGTTGTTGTTGTTGTTGTTGTTGTTGTTGTTGTTGTTGTTGTTGTTGTTGTTGTTGTTGTTGTTGTTGTTCTCCTTAGTGTTGTTCTCGTTGTTGCTGTTGGTCTTGGTAATACTAATAGTCTTGTTCACGGACCTCATGAATTCCACAAATAAAACAGAGTTATATTTCTTGAATCAGCTTCAGGGTTACTTTTCCTTCAATTATGAATGATTTGTGGAATGTTGCAATTGGTAACATGGAAACATAAGTTCAGTGCAGCTTCCAGTATGTTGTTCAGGTGAGGTACACCGGTTTTTGGGGATCAAATGTCGGAAGTCAGCATTGCTTACCTCGGCTGTTGCGCTGGACCGTCTTGGGTTCACTCGTAGTTAATTAATTGTGCGTCCCCCCAGGGGGTTTGGGCTCTCCGGTATTAATCCTTTGTTGAACGAGAAATTGTTTACTAATTAATTATTGATGAAGGGGTTAGTGTTGTATCACGTTCTTCGTGGCGTGGGCTGAGTCTTCTGTCAGGTGGACGGAGCTATAAAACACACAGACAGGACGGCGGTTATTGGTGTATCGAAGGAGAAGAGAAGTCGCACTGGCGGGTCTCTGAGAGAGACACACGTGTTGACTTTGGACTTACCGGGAGATCTCTCCAGGTTGTCCGAGGAGCTGGTAAGATGGTCGTCGACGTCGAAGGTGAACGTAGGCTGAGGAAGATATGTGGAGTGTAGTCGGACACGACGTGATGGCTTCTTGTTGTCTTCGCGAGTTGTGTTCTGGAGACGTCGATCTTGCGTGGTGTCGTAGGTCGTGCGCGGGGATCGCGCGTAGATCTGCGTGCGGTGATGCTGGCGCGCGTGGTGCTCCGGGGCGTTTGTCGTCCTCGTCGTTCCGACAATGGTGAGTCGTACTTGCGGACTTGCTTCTTTCGCGATTGTGCGTTGCATCTCCGCCGTTGGGGTCAATATTTGACCCGGGCGTTGTCCATACCGCTTGTTCTGGATGTGTTGTGCGGTCTCCGTTGATCTGGGTTTGCGGTGGTCAGGTCCGAGTACGAATCTACCACGTGAACCGTGTGTGGTGGATTAATTATTTTATTTTGGTGGAGATCGAAAATGATCTCCGGTCCGAGGAAAACGGCTCGATCCGGCCGGCGGTCGAGTGTGCCTGTTGTGTATAGCGAGAGCTGCAGAGTGCAGTAAATATTGGCGCCCCTATTGTAACTGTCTAGTCTCTAGGTATCCATTCACCTAGAGACTAGACAGTTACAATAGGGGCGCCAATATTTACTGCACTCTGCAGCTCTCGCTATACACAACAGGCACACTCGACCGCCGGCCGGTCCGAGCCGTTTTCCTCGGACCGGAGATCATTTTCGATCTCCACCAAAATAAAATAATTAATCCACCACACACGGTTCACGTGGTAGATTCGTACTCGGACCTGACCACCGCAAACCCAGATCAACGGAGACCGCACAACACATCCAGAACAAGCGGTATGGACAACGCCCGGGTCAAATATTGACCCCAACGGCGGAGATGCAACGCACAATCGCGAAAGAAGCAAGTCCGCAAGTACGACTCACCATTGTCGGAACGACGAGGACGACAAACGCCCCGGAGCACCACGCGCGCCAGCATCACCGCACGCAGATCTACGCGCGATCCCCGCGCACGACCTACGACACCACGCAAGATCGACGTCTCCAGAACACAACTCGCGAAGACAACAAGAAGCCATCACGTCGTGTCCGACTACACTCCACATATCTTCCTCAGCCTACGTTCACCTTCGACGTCGACGACCATCTTACCAGCTCCTCGGACAACCTGGAGAGATCTCCCGGTAAGTCCAAAGTCAACACGTGTGTCTCTCTCAGAGACCCGCCAGTGCGACTTCTCTTCTCCTTCGATACACCAATAACCGCCGTCCTGTCTGTGTGTTTTATAGCTCCGTCCACCTGACAGAAGACTCAGCCCACGCCACGAAGAACGTGATACAACACTAACCCCTTCATCAATAATTAATTAGTAAACAATTTCTCGTTCAACAAAGGATTAATACCGGAGAGCCCAAACCCCCTGGGGGGACGCACAATTAATTAACTACGAGTGAACCCAAGACGGTCCAGCGCAACAGCCGAGGTAAGCAATGCTGACTTCCGACATTTGATCCCCAAAAACCGGTGTACCTCACCTGAACAACATACTGGAAGCTGCACTGAACTTATGTTTCCATGTTACCAATTGCAACATTCCACAAATCATTCATAATTGAAGGAAAAGTAACCCTGAAGATGATTCAAGAAATATAACTCTGTTTTATTTGTGGAATTCATGAGGTCCGTGAACAAGACTATTAGTATTACCAAGACCAACAGCAACAACGAGAACAACACTAAGGAGAACAACAACAACAACAACAACAACAACAACAACAACAACAACAACAACAACAACAACAACAACAACAACAACAACAACAACAACAATCAACGACAATTGCAACGACAACAACTATTACAACAACATCAACGACGTCCATCAACACCCACACCACAACACCAACGTGCAGACGGGGTGTTCCGACGTGGTGAAGGCCTACCCATGGCCTCGTCGGGACATCACCAACCTCGTCGGCAGCGAGCACCTTCTCACAACAGTCGTCATGGTGATGACTATGACCAAGAGTAGATAAACAAGAGTGTGCAACTCACGGATTCGTTGGCCCACGGCGGAATTTTTTGTTGACGTAATCTTTTCGACGACGCACGCGCTGCGAGCCTTTTGGAGAGGTTTCCCTCGTGCACTTGGCCGGGCTTTACACTATAAGGTCTGTGCCCAGCACGTGCTCTCACACTGCTCTGCGGCAAAGTCCGCGTTTCTCTGAAAAAAGGTGACGTCAACAAAAAATTCCGCCGTGGGCGGGGGTATCTGCAGATTGTGCAGGAGAGATCCGGAGTTGCACACTCTTGTTTATCTACTCTTGCTATGACTGTTAGTGTTACAGCTGACGAGCTAGCTGAGAGAAGGACGCCATGGGCAGAAGTTGAAAAAAGACAAGAAAAAAGAAAAAGAACAAAAGAACAAAAGAAAAAAGAAATAAATCACAAATAATTTAATTACAGAGGAAGACAAGAAAATAACATCACAAATCCTTCCAGACGTGATCCCTGCAGCGGCAGCAACGTGAACAATACTACGGCGGCAACACGACGACTTCTACAACACAAAAAAACGAAAATTATAAAAATCCTACCAACCCGTAGAGTAACGAGGGTCCGAACCTGGGTTTTCCCAATACGGTTCAAATCAGGGAGTCGTAAAAGCCCGGGAGAGGACACGGGATGCGCGCACGCGGACGATGTTTGCCTCGGCCAGAAAGTGAAGCACGCTAGGCCGGCGCGGCCGGATCTGCTCGATCCACGGCGCTGTGCTTGTCTTCAGGGCAGGGAGTCCTAAAATACCAATATTTTATAACTCGTTGTTGACACCATTATCCGAAACTGGTGGCGAAGGAAGGATAAACATGATTGTATGTCTGTCAGACTCAGTACAGGGGTGGGGAGTTGAGTGTGTGTGTGTGTGGGGGGGGGGGGGGGGGGGGAGGCGTGTGTATGTGCACATGTGCTTGTACTTTTGTGTGTGTTTGTACAGTGTTTGTGTGTGTGCTTGTGTGTGTGCGCGCGAACGTGTGTGTGCATTTTTGTGCACAATTCCGTTATGAAGTACAAATGATAGGTTTACCTTTTGTACACTCGCCAAGACTTCCGTTTCCTAAACGGCTCAAGTCACCGCGTACTCAGTATACGAGTAGAAAAGTGTTGAAATTATCAAGATTTATAAATAACGACCTGCAACCATGTACAATGTAGATAGATAGGGAACACACATTGATTGTTTTTAAAAGAATCCAGGCATTATCGTGAATCATGGAACGAGTGCGTAATAATGCTCTATGTTGCGTTTTGACGATGCTGAAGGAAGGGAGCCGTCGCGATTTACTCACAACACACGCACAGAAGTCCACTCGACTGCAATTTCTGACACAAATTCATAAATCCACGAGTACGCCGAGGAAGCTCAGCGGATCTCCACAAGAACTTTCGCCCATCACCTGCAATGGAATATGGGCTGTATGATACGACCAGTGGTTAACACGGGAAGTGGCGTCATTTTCCACAAATCTCGTTTCATTCACAACCATTTGACTGCAATTCAGTGCAATTTCTGCCACAAATTCAACTCCACGAGTACGAGGAAACTCAGCGGATCTCAACACGAACGTTGGCCCATCACCTGCAATGGAATATGGGCTGTATGATACGACCAGCGGCTAACACGGGAAGTGGCGTCATTTTCCACAAATCTCATTTCGTTCACCCCAACTCAAATAAAAGTGAAGTACAATTAGGGATTTGTCTTGCATTTCCATCGCCTCAGAATAAATTAACTTCGATAAACTGAGAGAGAATGAGTGAGGCAGCTGGAAGATGAGGATGAAAATAGAGATCAGAAGACTCGACGGAGCAATCGTCTCCGTGCTCTAAGAGAAATCGGAGAATGTCCCAATTAGTATTTCAAGAAGACATCACAATTTTCGAAAATAATAATTTCCTTGCCTCGCAACACCGTTCCCTGGCAGCGTTCCCCGGCAGCGCGAGGCAAAGATGTTTTCTGGGAATGTGTGCCGTGTCCTCTCCCGGGCTTTTACGACTCCCTGGTTCAAATGGTCGCAAGACCGGGACTCTGCCAACCGGTTTATGGTTGTAGTCAGGAGCACTACGCGTCCTCGCCTTGTAACATGCTGTCAAAATCGAAAAACATCGTTCGTACATGTACGTAGCTGTCAACACATCCGAAATGAATCAAACTGACGTGGATTTTTGTCAAACTCAAAGTCAGAAAATACTCCTTGCATTGCTGACTGTGCTACCTGGTTTCACGTTTGTTTTGTCTCAATGAGAATACAAATTGCTTTCAGTACAATATCTCGCAGCCCATTTTCTCCTAGGTGGCCGTATAAATTGTCCCGTACAATCAGTGCAATTGTGGCCGTGTCTTTCGCTGAGTGATTTTGTTTGGAAATGAGGAGTAGTGAAAGTCCATATTGGATACAGATTCACTGTGAAATGGCCTGCTTCTGCATGCCATGAAGCCCAGCGAGGACGCTCCACGTCGTGTAAATGCTGGGTTCACTAGGATCGCCCTGATGTCGCTGTTGTACGCGATAATAGTGCTGTTTTTCCAGTCGCTGTTATGGCCGGAGGTCGTGGTGACTCGTAGGGAGTCTACCCTGGAGGTAGCACCCATATCTCCTTCAGAGCTGCTGGAGCTGCGCGAGTCTGCCAGACGGATGTTCTATTTCGGCTACGACAACTATATGCGTCATGCATTTCCAGCTGATGAACTGGACCCTATCCACTGCACAGGACGAGGTGCTGACAAAGAGAATGTGTACGTAATGTTAGTGGCATACTATACAGACAGTCGTGTACTACATACAGTCGTCGCCAAAATATCCGGCCAATGCTATGCTAGCTACCGGTAGCTGTACGGTGCATGGGCCGCATGCACTGCCACTGCCACTGCTGGTACTACTAGTCACTGCACATGCCCTGCTGCCAGTCCTGCATGGCTGCATACGCTCAGGCTGTGTTGACATGAGGCGTTTCAACCCGGGTTGAGTTCGACCCGGATCAGATTTCAACCCGCCATGTACACAAAATGAATGGCGCGTTTACACGACACATGGCGCTTGACCCGGGTTGATTTTTTTTTAAATTTCAACCCGGGGCGGGAAAAATCGTATTAACGTACTTCTATGCGTATCTCGCGCCAGGTTTCAATAGCAGTGCACAGCTATATAGTACAGGCAAATTTCGCGCGAAAGTATTCACGTGACTATACAGGACTCTAGAAGTGGACTTTTTGGCGGCATACCAGTATTTGACCCGGGTCCACTGCCTTCATGTAAACGCTCACCTATTTTGTCTATCGTACAGACTTTCAACCCAGGCTGAACTCGACCCGGGTTGAAAATTCTCATGTAAACACAGCCTCAGTGCAGTGCTCGACCCGAGTGCAGCGCAGACTGTTCAGTGCTGTGCTGGTACTGACCGGGGAGTCGTAAAATACCGACTCCCTGGTACTGACTGTAATAATTAATGCATGCATGCCACCTTGATTCATGAACGATGAAGTACCGTCGATGACCGTGTATCATGCCACTGTATCCATGGCATTGCCCGGATTTTTTTGGCAACGACTGTAGTAACTGTGCTTGGTGGACTCCAGGCGCATGAAACTGAAAGAGTCCGTGCCCTGCACCGGCACACGGCACGGCGTTTGTAAATCTGGGCCTGCGCAGCGTCCAGCGTGAGCTGATCTTATCCATGAGGTTGCATGCCACCGAACGCAGCTCTGGACTAGTACTTCTCAGCCACGGCGTTGCGTCGTCGGAACATTGCGCACGGCACCGGACACTGGGCCGCGTGGCTGTGCTTTATTCGTGAGGTCGGATTACATTTGATCAAGAGTACATAGCCAAGAGTGTTCAACTCTACAACCCCTGAGCCCATGACGGAATTTTTCCCTGACATCAGTCTTTCGGGGGCCATTTGGCTCACTGATGATACTGCGATGGTCAAATCAACGGTGATAAACAGGGTAGATGTATGTATTTTATGACGTAAAAACTGGGTGCGGCGTATACTCCCTAAAATACGGTAGTAAAGGTCGAGTGGGCGTGGGCACTGAATGCGGATACTCATTGAAGCATGAAGTCTTGAATGCTGCCTGCTCTAGGCGCTCAATGGGCCGTGTTGGGCTACGCTGTACCGTCTGTGTGTGTCTGTGTGTGTGTGTGTGTGTGTTTCCCTGACTGCAGTGAGAATATCAATATCAATGATGTGCTGGGGGACTACTCTCTGACGTTGATCGAATCACTCGACATGCTGGCTGTAAGGCAATACTAGCACTGTTTTCTCTGTCCCAGGTGATGTCCTACTGCTTTCCCCATAGTCTTCTGTCTGAGTTTTGTTCACCGCCCAGCCTGTGCAGGTGAAGACTTGAAAGGCGCAAGCTCTGCTTGTTAGTTTGTTTTACTACACAGTACGCTCTGGACTCCTCCTTGGTTTCCCTTTTCTCTCTAGCTCTTCTCTTGTACCTTCTTGCTAGTATTCACTTAAATGTGGGGCTTTGAATAAAACAAGTTGACACGGTACGCTCTCCTGAGCGGCATTGAGCACGCTCAGTACACTGGGTACATCTTCCGTTGGTTTGCTATTCTACACCAGTGTAGAATTCAAGCCATCTTCAACATTCGGCGTGTGCATCTCTGTGACACTTTTGCCGTTCTTTGTCGACAGCTACGCTACGCCACGGCATACGCATTGCAGCATAGCTGGCCTGCTGCAAGAATTCCTGGCTTGAACCCCGTGGGGGTAGTGGTCAATTTCTTCCTCAACCTTACAGATATAAACGTAGCTATCACCTTGTACCTCCCTCAAACTATGCGAATGGTTGTCGTTTTATTTGTTTTCATTTTTCCTTTCGTTTAGATCCTTGGCAATGCCAGTGAGTTCAAGCGTGCAATTGGTCTTGTTGTTCAGCACGTGGACTTCAATCGTAACAACACTGTCCAGGTCTTTGAAGCCACTATCAGGTATTCATCTCACGGAACTTCCGTGTGTGTGTGTGTGTGTGTGCGTGCGTGTGCGTGCACATGCGTGTGTGGATGGGTGTTCGTGAATGCGTGTGCATTCTTGATCCAAGTGCTGCAACTCCTGTCAGTGAAGTGTTTTTGTGGCGCAGTGGATCATCTTAGATCTATCTGTGCACTTCCTGCAGTGTACGGCCTGCACGCGTGAGTACCCATGGCAACATTAAATCCGTTGTTCTGTGCACGTTCGTATTGTATCCTCTCTAGGGTGTTGGGCGGTCTACTGTCTGCACACCTTCTGGCTACGGACCCGGAGCTATCCGAGAGCCTGTGCCCAGACGGGTATGACAATGAGCTGCTTTACCTGGCCAGTGACCTGGGATCACGGCTATTGCTTGCGTTTGACAACACGTCCACTGGCCTGCCGCACCCACGAGTAAGTGAACGAGCTGCGCACTGGAGTGAATCAACTGCGCAGTCCACGTAATCAAGTTCACAGTACTTCTACATGCAGTACATTGTTGTGTAGGTGTATGCAAGCCTATCGGCATGCATGTTCTGTGGGTATATGCAAGCCTATCGTCAGACATGTGTTGGCTGCTGTGTGCTGAAATGTAGGTCCATACACTACATTTTGTTCCACCTTCTGTGTGTGTGGATGGATTTCGATTAACGTCATGAGTACTCATCTGCCCTTATATTGCCCTCAGAAGATCTGCTATAAAATATGGGTTTGTTTTCGCTCCAGTTGTCTTCCAGGCGTGGGAAAGTGGTCTTAGCTCTTTCCCAAAATGGGATTTGCCCTGCATTTACCTAAAGAAAATTATTTCGCACGACCAACTGCTTTGCAGTTTTGTTACGTGAGTTTTGTAGTACAGAATTGCAGCAGAATCGGCAATGCGAATCCAACCTCATGGCCGAAGAAACGACGAATTGATCAGCATGCATTTTTGTTGATGTTTATGTTCAGGTGAATCTGCAGTTTGGCCTGCCGCAGAATGGCTTCATGAACACGTGCACGGCAGGTGCTGGCACCCTTGTGCTAGAGTTCGGCATTCTGAGTCGCTTGATCGGAGACCCTGTATATGAGTCAGTGGCGCGCCGTGCGGTTGACACGCTGTGGAAGCGTCGCCATCACGACACTGGACTGTTAGGTAAGTGCAGCGCTGCTCAATGAAATCCGGTTGCGTGAGTCAAGTTTGCGCCTTGCGCCCTTTCGCAGCCCAGTGTTTGCAGGTATAGGGCTGCGCAACGCCCGGCGCGTACTTGAGTGACTCGACTGGATTTCATTGAGCAGCACTCTAGAGATGAGTTGGTACGTTATGTCAACATTAGCAAGCTGGGGGAGGAGGGTTATACAGCCAGTGGCTCAACTCTTTTTCCAGTTGGGCATGAGAGTGCTATGTCACAGCCGGGTCGGAATCACGACAACGCCAGCTTTGGGATCCAGGTACTGTATGGAGCCGCACATATTTGGGTGGTGTTCCTCACAGTGTGATCCAGGTACTGTATGGAGCCGCACATGTTTGGGTGGTATTCTTCCCAGTGTGGCGACACCTCCGCGGGTAGTGACTGGCCTCGGGCCCTCCTAGCCCGGGGGGGGGGGGGGGGGGGGGACCCACTGCCAGAACTGACGAATAGTCGCACTATTAAACGTTAGCATGTAACCTGAGGGGCCTGTCCAGCGGATGCAGTACTTCACTTTGAACAGAGTGCAGCCAATGTGGCCCAGAAGTCGTTATTTGCTGGCTTCTGACGTCATCGCTCTCAAGCCCTGTACACCTCCCGTGCGTGCTTGTGCCTGGGTAGTGTTCAACACAGAATAGTACTAGTATGTCATACTATTCTGTACGATATTAGTCCATTGTGAGGGGCTCCTCATGCGGCTAGCTGCTTCCCTACAGCAACAGTTTTGTAGTCGGTGAAAGGATGGCCAGGTGCTTGCTGGTTGTCATAGTTAATGGTAGTCCCGGTATGGACTTTTCACAACCAAAGGCGCGTGCGTGCGTCTGCATGTGTGTGCGTGCATGTGTGTGCGTGCATGTGTTTGTGTGTGTGTGTGTGTGTGTGTGTGTGTGTGTGTGTGTGTGTGTGTGTGTGTGTGTGTATATAGATGTGTATGAGCACACATTGTGAGGCATGCATGCATACCTGGCATCTGTACTACCTCTTTTCACGACCTCGACTGCTTTCTTTTTGTTTGCGGTGCACTGCAGGGAGCGAAATGCACATTGACACGGGTGCTTGGACAAGCCTTTCCAGCTCCATCGGTGCTGGCATTGACTCTTTCTATGAATACCTGCTCAAGGTAGGTATTTGTGTGCTTAGGTTAGACGGTTTGTGTGCTAAGTTTATGTGGGAGGTTAATGCACGCCTAAGTAGGCGAAGTGATTGAAAGCTGGGCGAATGGATGGGTCACGGTGTCAGTGCAGATGGCTGAGTTGAGCCCTTAGCAACAATGTACTTGAGTTGTACAATGATCTATACTCGCTAGTGCCATTGCCATTGGAGTGTCTTGTTACAGTTTTCTGTTTGCCTGACTATCTTCTGGTATTTGAGTAGCTTGGTGTGTATCTGTATGCATGGAGTGTATTCACATGTGTTGCAAGCTTGGACCGGCATGGCATTGTCCCGTTTGTCGGTGGGTGGGTGCGCGCGCACATGCGTTTGTGTGGGTGTAGGGGGCATTTGTTTGACAAGAGCAACTGGCATGCATTCTCATGGTGTGCGTGCGTGTGTGCGTGCGTGTGTGTATGTGTGTGTGTGTGTGTGTGTGTGTGTGTGTGTGTGTGTGTGTGTATGTGTGTGTGTGTGTATGTATGGGCACTCACGCTTGTGTGCATGTATATATCTGTGTTTTGTGTGCTTCTGTCATGGCAGGCATACATCTTGTTTGGGAAGCAAGATGACTTGGATCGCTTCAATGCGGCTTACTCGTCCATCATGAAGTACATGAAAAGAGGGTATGTTGGTGAGACGAGTGCTGGTGAAACATTTTGAATGATTTTAAAGAAATATTCTGCACGGCTTGTTTCCTATTCACCGGTTTGGGATCTCTGTATTGACAGGATCAGGAGTTTCTCGACTGGGAGGGATGGACGTAGCATGCCTGGCCTGTTGGAAGTCCAGTGTGCTTGGATAACTGGTAGTACAGTCAACTTTGCGTATAACCACACTCGGCGGGGCATCAGAAAAGTGTCCTTATTCGCGAAGTCTCCTTATACCCGAAGTCTCAGTATATGTACAGTCAACTTCGCTAATAACGACTGCGGATATAACGACAATTCGCGAATAACGACATAATTTTCATGCTCAGAGCAAAGTCCCTTCCAACTGTGACACATAAAATGAGACTTCGGGTATAACGACACTTCGCGAATAAGGACACTTTTCTGATGCCCCGCCGAATGTCGTTATAAGCGAAGTTGACTGTATTACAGTTAGATGGGACTTTGCTCTGGGCATGGAAATTCTGTCGTTATTCGCGACTTGTCGTTATATCCATTTATCCACAGTCAGTCGTTATTAGCCAAGTTGCCTGTAGATACTACCAAGAGTACATAAACCAGAGTGTGCAACTCGGGATGGTTCCTGTGGGAGCGGAATTCGTGCACTACGTCATTTCTGACAGCATGGTACGGTGAAAAGTTGCGTAACCAGTCGCGGTGGTGCAGGTCACTGAGTTTGTCCTGATTTCGGTTTTTTGATACGGATAGCCTGGTGACTTTACTTGTCGGTGGATGTACGCAGCGTACACAGTCACACAAAACACCGAAATACTGAAACTGGACGTCTAAAATCAAGCAAACTTGGCTGATTTCCGGGCTATGAAACATGAAAATTTGAGCTGTACGCAAGTCGCGGCTTGGCTGACCTCATCAGGGTGACGTAGTGCTCGAACTGCGCTGTTTCAGATCTGATATGCAGAGTTGCGCACTCTGGTTTATGTACTCTTGATACTACCACCACTAGATTGTGAGTGATATGTGACTGTACACTGATAGTTGATGCTTCTTGTTTCTGTTGTTGATTGCTTTCTCCAGTGCTGTGTGTGATGAATCAATGGATCCCAATGAGCTTCCACCGTATTTCGTCAATGTCAATATGCTGAGCGGTGAGAGAATCAACGGCTGGATTGACTCGTTGTCTGCGGCGTTCTCTGCAGTTCAGGTTGGTGTGTGTGCGTGTGCGCGTGTGTGCGTGTGTGTGTGTGTGTGTGTGTGTGTGTGTGTGTGTGTGTGTGTGCGTGTGTATGTGTGTGTGTGGGGGGGGGGGGGGGGGCGTGTGTGTGTGCATGTGTGTGTGTGTGTGTGTGCGTGCATGTGTGTGCGTGTGTGTGTGTGTGCGCGCACACGCGTGCGTGTGTGCATCGGAAGTGCCGTGCTCTTTGAGTCATGTGTCTCTTGCTGTGTGTAGAGATTGTGCTGTTGTTATCACGTACCGTATTTTCCGGAGTACCGTATTTTCTCCAATAATAGCCCAGTCTCCAATAATGACCCGGGGTGAGGGTGGTTTGAAATAATAAGAGCACAGTCTCTAATAGTAGCGCGGGTCACAATTGGAGGATGCAACAAGTATATTGACTGCATATAAAACAGCATTACAACATGCCAAGAACATATTTGTAAGGAGGTTTTCGGTGTACTGCTTACTTCCTGGCGCCAATGCTTTTGTGAAACATCTGTTTTGACAATATTCCTGAGTTTAGGGTTGAGAAATCAGTCTTGATATGGTCAGTTTATGCCTGTATAGACTGGAGTTGGCTTGATAGTTGACAATTGAAAAAAATAAGAGCCCAGTCTCCAATAATAGCCCAGTCTCTAATAGTAGCGCAGGTAGAGCTGTCACTGAAAAAATAAGAACCCCGGGCTTTTATTAGAGAAAATACGGTATATGCCGCACCCCCCCCCCCCCCCTTGCCCCCCCTTGCCCCTTTGCCACGCAATACAGACATCCACCCTATTTATCACCATTATTTTGATCATCAGAGTAACAGTTATAGGCCGCTCCCCCCATTTTTTGGGTGAGGTTGAGTGTTCAAATTGCGGCTTTTACTCCGGAAAATACGGAATGTTCTGTTATTGCCATCTCAATATTGTTGTTAAATTGCAGGTAGCTGTGATTTTGTCACATGATGGTCAATAACAAGGTGCAAACCCTGTTCTTTGTGATGTTATCAGCCATAGCCAGTGCTAAATTAATGGTATAAACCCAATTTTCATAGCTGGCACTGTTTTTTCTTGTACACCGTGGCTTTAGGTGCTGAAGGGTGACATCCAGGAAGCTATTTGTAGCCATGCCCTCTTCTACACCTTGTGGCGACGATTCGATGCCCTGCCAGAGCGCTTTGACTTCCAGACGACGTCGACGAATGTTGCATTCTACCCTCTGCGCCCCGAGCTAGTAGAGTCAACGTACATGCTCTACCAGGTGAGTGCCAGAGGCTGAAGTGCAGCTGCAGGAGTGTTGTGACGTCACGCCTACGTCTCCCTTTCCCTGTTCTATGCTCGCACACACACACACACACACACACACACACACACACACACACACACACACACACACTCTCTCTGATGTGTGAAATGTTACACTACTCGTAGCCTGTAGGCCATCCTATGGATACTGTGTATCGTTGCACTCTGGTGGCGTGAAACTTGCAAGTGGGCTGGCTTCAGTCTACTATACCTGAACACTCTGTTCTGTTGGAGCATAGCTAGTTGTTGTACTGTGCCAGTCTGAGGTGGATAGACATTTTGCTGTGTGCACTGTGGCTATGTTTTGCAGCTCTCAGTTTTCCATAGTCCTAACTTCGTTATTGTCTTTTGTTTGACATTTGTGTCAACTGCTGCTGCTGCTGCTGCTGCCGCTGTTGTTGTGGTGGTGGTGGTGGTTGTTGTTGTTGTTGTTGTTGTTGTTGTTGTTGTTGTTGTTCCTGCTGCTGCTGCTGTTAATCTTGTTGCTGGCAGGCCACCAAGAGTCCGTTCTATCTTCACGTCGGCCGGGATATTCTGAACAGCCTCAACCAGCATACACGTGCAAGGTAAGACCTCACCAGTGTATAGTATAGGCTGTCTGCACGCTGTGTTGTGTCTGTCGCAACTACTCACTATGGTTTTGGCACAAGAGTGAAATATATGCGAGACCTAGTACTGATTTGTATTTTTAATTGTTCTGTATTTTTTTGTAAAATCGGGAAAATACTCCAGCTTTCATTGTCAGTCCATGCAATCTACTATTGCCTTATTTGCTGGAGTGAAGCCGCGCTTATCCATGAGTAATCGCATGCCAGGCTCCTCTGTGTTGTCAATGTTCACTTGTCCAATTTTGTCTACCTCCCCTTTTATGTTGCTGGCCAGTGCTTTGTAGTAAAAATAAATAAATAAATCAACCTTGCCGCTTTAACCCCAAACACTCATTTCCATACAAGCAAATACAAACTGGAGTGTAACATTGCTTCCAGGAGGGGAGGAGAGGGGGGGGGGGGGGGGAGTACTTGTACCCCAGTGCTGCTCTGAACCAGGTAAGTCTGGCTGGTGCTTGCACCGAATGTTAGAGAAGGCACTCTGCTTGTTGTTGGTTAGTGTTTGAGTAGCTGGCCTGGTTCTGCACTGCTTAGTTTTATCTATTTTGTCGTCTGTGTAAACATGCTACTGTACGCCTTACACTGCACGACACTGCACAGCAGAGAGTCGTAGAGTACAGGGGATACAACACGGGTGACTGCAACACTAAACAATGTGAAAGTTCGCTCCCGGGCTCCCCGTTCCAATCCCCCTTGGAGTGGGGTCGATTTACGCATGCTCACACATGGCACGGTGGACTGGGTTGTGTTTTGGGCCAAACAGGCCAAGACCACGATCTCAATCGCGAGTTGCATAGACCACATATCACAGAGACGTTCCGAATACGAGGTCGAAGCGCACATCATTTTCGGTACTAACTTATGATATCGTATTGCCTCCGACTCCCTGGTATACTCCCTGGTGTATGTGTAATTCAGTGCTGCTCAATGAAATCCAATCGAGTGAGTGACTACCACGCCTGGTCGCTGCTCCGCCCTAGACTTGTGAGCACTAGGATGTGAACTGGTGCAGGGCGTGAACGTAATTACCGTCATTGGATTTCACTGATCACCACTGTACTTGAGCAATGTGCTTCACTGTGCTGTGCTGTGCTCTGCTTCACTGTCACAGTGTGCTGTGCTTCACTGACACTGTGCTGTGCTGTGCTTCACTGACACTGTGCTGTGCTGTGCTTCACTGACACTGTGCTGTGCTGTGCTTCACTGACACTGTGCTGTGCTGTGCTTCACTGACACTGTGCTGTACTGTACTGTACTGTGCTGTACATGTACGATGACTACCGTCATCACACAAGGCTTACATGTATATGTCATGTACTGTACAGGGCCTACAGGCAGAACATTTCGTCCAACTCCAAAGAAAAGGAGTTCGTCCCGCTGTAAATTTCGTCCACGGATCATAAGAGTGCATTTGAAAAGCTAGACAAATTGACACTAGTCGGGCATTTAATTTACTGGTTCAAGTACTAGTAGTCCAAAAGCTCCTTGGACGAAAAGACGAAATTAAATTCCAGACGAATATTTCTGCTTTAATGTACAGTACTATCTTTCTCCACTGTGCTGGGTCTTGCAGGTGTGGCTATGCTACTGTGCATAATGTCAATGACAAGTCACTGGAGGACCGGATGGAGAGTTTCTTTCTCAGCGAGACTGTCAAGTACCTGTACTTGGTATGTGCTGTGCTGTGCTGCTGCTGTCAGTGTTGTGCTGTACATTGTACGGTGTTATGCCATTGGCATTCCACCAGGGGTGAAACGAGTATCTATTTTGACCAATCGATCACTCGTTCATAATCCTCGATCGAGTATCCGATTATTTTGAGTATTTTATCAAAATTCAAAAGGGCTAGATTTGTGAATTCTCGACCAATTCGGGAAGAAATTATCTGTGAACATAAAACAAAAGTCGCCAACGTCTTGTACAGAGTGTAAAGTAACGATTTTCATCAGTACTTTCATATCTCAGAACGTTAACTGACGTTACTTGCCGTGGTGATCGCATCGTCCAAGTCATAAAAATACTGACTCAAAGGCATGCATAACACATGCATACCAGTGGACGAGCGGTACAACAAAAGTTTTTGAAAAATAGAATGCCAATACTAAAAAAAACAAAAAACAAAAACAAAAAACGATCGAGTGCAAAATTTCGAATACTCGCTCGTTTGAAATTTTCGAACGAATACTCGAATATTCGAACTTATCGTTTCACCCCTACATGATTCCACCCATCTGTCCGGTGTGTGTGTGTGTGTGTGTGTGTGTGCGTGCGTGTTTGTGCCTACGTGTATATGTCTGTGTGTGTGTGTATGTGTGTGGTGTGTGCTTGTGTGCTCGTGTACGCGCACGCGTGTGTGTGTGCGCGTGTGCATGCGCGCCTTGTTGCAGTCCAACCGTGACTGTGCGCGCTCACACTGGGCTGGAATTTAATAGCGCATTGTATATTGTTTTTCCTTTTCAACACTCTCAACTAATGAGCATTTTATATGTACTGTGATTTTGGTGTTGCCCGGCTGCAATGTGCTGTGATGTATAGAGGATACACATATGCAATGACGTCAATTCCGCCTTGTATGGGAGCTAGCTGAGTTACAAAATGCCCATTTACGGGTAAAGTGCGTACAGAAACCCCATATAAAGAGGAGCTTTGAGTGGCAAACGTAGTATGTGACGTGTATTGCGTATCCTCTATACACGTCTGGTTTCCTCTTTGCTCTGTGTTCTGCAGCTGTTTGACGAAGATAACAAGTTGAATCGGCACGCTGACAAGTTCATCTTCAGCACCGAAGGTCACCCGTTCCGCGTCGGATCGTTCAGGACGGGCAATGACGACAGCGACCGATGGTTTGACCAGCTTCGGCCGTCGTTTCCACCAACCGGGTCGAAACGTGCCCATCGGGATCATCGCCGTCAGTCCCAACAGATGAATATAAGTGAAGAGATCCTGCAGCAATCTAAAGCTCACACCTTGTCTCATGTAAGTCACACAACTGCACCCTGTCATGCCATTGTTTCTGTATTGTGTTCAGAGATATGTGGCAAATGTGCCTCATTTCTATACCAATCATCATGTATGTTATGGGTAACCTTGCATAGCGACGCTGCATTGTTTATGGTTTTGACGTAATGGTGGGCGTACGTGTGTGTGTGTGTCCGTGTGTGTCCGTATGTGCATTTGTGTGTTTGTCTGTCTGTCTGTGCGTCCGTGTGTTCTGTGTGTTCTGTGTTGTGTGCAGTGCTCTCGCTGGTCGGGTAGCAATGACTCTCAGCTGCCTTACCCGTTGACCCGCTACTTGCTGGGCAAGTATGAGGAGATGGTGGGTGGCTTTACGTAACCTGCTGGCCTGGATGCATCGCACTGCCACCCATCACGGACTTTGACTCACCCTGTTCACGCCGTCACGCACGATTCTCACCGTTCTCGTTTCCTCTACAGTTTCTGCTTTGCTCTTCAGGCACCCGTGTCTCTTTGGCCGCCTCTTAGGGCGTGTTAGAGGCATTATCTTCTTGAGTTATCTATTTTTTAGTTATTATTATATTTTTCTGAGCAGTGTTGCATCCTGCTAGCCGGCCTATATCTCGTCTCCAATGGGTCTTGACTATTTTCTTCGCTATTCCCATCCCAAATTTTAGCTGTTGGTTTACTTGTAAGCATGGTCTGTTGTTGTTGTTGTTGTTTCAAATCTTTATTCTCACGATAGCCAGTGGCCAATAAGAGATAGTTGTTGTTGTTGTTGTTGTTGTTGTGGTCGTCGTTGTCTTCATCGTCGATGTTGTTGTGCTTGGATTTCCGAGTAACTAGTTAGTGTGCCTTGACAGTATCGGTGTACACACACACACACACACACACACACACACACACACACACACACACACACACACACACACACACACACACACACACACACACACACACACACACACACACACACACACACTTGGTTAACCGGTGGCTAGGGTGTTCAGATGTTATTTTTATTATCGACTTGATGCTGTGCAGGCTCACAGGTTACTTTATACTGTTTCTGCTGTTTTTACTTGAATTCTAGCACTGTAGTTAGCCTCTATCCCAACCTTACAGGAACCTTGCCTTTGAGACTTTTTTTTAAATTCTTTTTTTAATAGACATACGAAATAGAAAACCCTTTTAGACATGCATGTGATATGTCTTACTCAGAAACCTATTGCAGGTTAAGGCAGGCGCCTGCCTCTGTACTCAGAAACACAGTCATTTACGGCGAGCCGTGTTGGAGTGCCGAACAGTCCCCCAAGCGCCCTTTCTGTTCTGCGAAATACAATCTGTCAAAATGTCCATTGTGGAAAAAAATTGAGGGTTCGTACTTGAAAAGCTGATGAGCACAACATCTCAAAATATGAAGAAGAAAATAGGCGGCCAGCTCTTAATTATAGTAAATTTGACTCAATAGAAAATTTGATGTTCTGTTCTATGGAATGGAAATTGTGAAATTGTGGGGTAAACTCAACCTCACAATACAATGCAGTCGCTTCGCAGTATTATGTTCAAGTGGTGATAAGCGGATATCTGGGATTGTGATGTTCCTATACAGGCTATATAGTATACACTAATACTCAATCTGCGGACAGAACTGTTTCGTCCTTTGTGGACTCGTCAGCGCAGCACAGAGGAAATGAGGCCGAACCCGATAGCAATGGAAATAAAAATTTCCAATCAGGCCCGAACGTACCTTGCCTACTACATGTACAAGTCTAGTGCAAGGTCTGACGGGATAGTACCAGTGTGTGCCAGAATAGAGGTTAGCGCCACTTGCACATCCAGTTTTGGCATGGTTGAGTGACAGGAGTGTGAATGTTCACGAGTGGTGTTCATCCAAGTCTGGCATGGTTGAGTAGTGGGACTGAGTGTGAAGAGCCTGTTCATGCATGATGTTCATCCAAGTCTGGCATGGTTGAGTAGTGGGAGTGTGAAGAGCCATCAAGCAGCGGCATGGCCAGCATGCCATCACGTAGGGCCTTCCTCGGTGGAGATGCCGCACCATCCAGTTCAAGGTCACCGTGCACACTATTGACCAGCGTGTGTTCTTCATGGTCGGATTTCGGCTTGAATATGCATAGTAGGACGCGGCATTTCAAAAAGTTGAAGCGCAGGACGAGTAGGGCCATCAACTGTGCAGAGTTAACAAATTCGGACAAAGGCATCACCGTTTAACTGAGTGGTACGCAACAACATTACATACAAGTACTAACAGACAGCAGTAAACTCGGGAACAAGGACACAATGAGCATACAGGGAACGAAGCACGCCGGTATGAGCAGGCAGAAACAAAGTACCACCCTGTTGTGTAAAACGCCCATATTGTACAACTTGGAAGCGGTTGGTCAGGAAACCCGAACAGGCGAACACACAATTTTAAACCTTTGTTTGGCCTATTAAACACACTTTTTTGAATTGTACAGTAACGCTGGTTTGTGTTTCGGTGAGACATGTGCAAAAGCCGGAATGGCAAGGGTGTGTTTGATGACATGCCGCCGCGTATACAGAGTACATCAGGTTTGTTACAAATAGGACAAGTGATGAGACAGCAGCGTCAGGTGGTCACACGCGAACACAGCAATGCACCTCACCTTGTAGAGTACGAGCAAGGCGAAAATGATCAATGGCCAGACGGCCAGCCCGATGAGGATCCACTTTGTGCCGCTGACAAGATGCCGGTACAACAGCGAGAAGCCGGTCATCACAACCATGTTGAAGAGGACAACGCCCTCCAGCCTGTTACAGCTCTCACCCGATCTCAAAAAGAACGGGGTTGACCACGTGACCTATCAGAAACGCAAAATGAGATCGCAGTGCCGCAAGACAACCACTGTTGTATTTGAGTAGACAATGAACAGGAGAGCAACGTTTGAGCTGACGAGACCCTTGTGTGCTGGCGGAGTTGTGATTATTCCAGCAAACTATTCACCATTTCCATACATTTCCATGCCACTTCCGACCAGTGTCATTGTTCGCAGATAGATTCACACGGTTTGGAGAAGTTCCAAGGTTTCCAATATTTTTAAAGAGTCTCTTGACATTCACCTAGCTAGAAGCCCCCATTTGTAATGATAAAAAAATGATAATGGCAGAAAATGTGAGGTGCCATAGTGTGGCGTCTGGACTGAAAATTCGCAAGCAACTTCTCGTGCAAGGACACATTCCACAAGCTTATTTACACATGGCCATGGTTGACCGGGTTTGACAAGGCCATCGTTACAACCGATTACCGACTACTTGTAGGCAGTGCAAAGAGCGACTACTTGTAGGCAGTGCAAAGCCTGAGCCGCCCTGGCTGTAAAACAGTCAGCAGCACTGCACAGTCCGTACTGTAAGACCAGATATTTTAACGTCAAAGTTACCGATCTCAGGATTTTTGTGAGTTAGCGAGGTGAAATTCTAACGAATTCTGTCTCAAAAGCGGCAAATGACTGTACATGTACATATCGTTTTGCACACAACGACTTCAAATGTTAACGATTCTTTCCGAAATTCATTAACTCATTAGAATTTTAAAAAAAATTGTTAAAGGGGAAGTGCATCGATTTTTCGAGTATGGTCCAGAAGAAAGACAATTTGATATCGGTTCGAATGGCATATCTCTCGCTTCCATACGATAAGCCAAACTTGCCAAATCGCCAATTGTATACTCATGTTGCCATAGCGACCAGCGCAGTGATGACGTACGAAAGGCTTAGCTCCACCACACAGAGAAGGTCGATCACTGCAGAATCTGGTCATTTTCAATTGGTTTATTGTATTCACGAAGTGAAAGAAGGGCTGTGTTCAATGCTGTTTGCGCAGTGAACTGTTTGTTAGTAGTCCTCTCGGTTGTGTACTGGGACGTGACACCGACAGGAGAAAGCTGGAGTGCGGAGACACCAGCAGACAAGCGAAAATAGTGACGAACAAAATGCTGAAATCTTGGTTGGGACAGATCAGACAGCCGTTCAGCATTTCCCCCAACCAAGGACCATGCCGTTTGCTCTTTCCACTTCCTGAAGATGGATGTGATGCTTCCTGGCGACTCTCCTATCTCTCGTAACATCTTCTGAAGCCAGGTGAGACGACGGGTGGTGGAGATTGACGAATGAAATAATGTCGTAGGTTTGAAAGTTTGCTGAAAATGTCTCAGGAGAGATGGCGAATTCCAAGCATCTTGTCCTGGAGGAAACCATTTCCTAGGCACAGTCAGCCTAGGGAATTGCATGAGAAGGGCGATAAATAGTTCACGGCACTAACAGCATTGAACACAGCCCTTCTTTCACATTGTGAATACAATAAGACAATTGAAAATGACCAATTTCTGCAGTGATCGACCTTCTCTGTGGAGAAGCTAAGCCTTTCGTACGTCATCACTGCGCTGGTCGCTATGGCAACGTGAGTATACAATTGGCGATTTGGCAAGTTTGGCTTATCGTATGGAAGCGAGAGATATGCCATTCGAACCGATATCAAATTGTCTTTCTTCTGGACCATACTCGAAAAATCGATGCACTTCCCCTTTAACATCACTGGTCTTACAGTACATGGAGTAGAGGTTCTCCTACTCACCAGGCGGAAGCGGTCATCGTACTCTCTCGGCGTAACGTACGGCTTTGCAGCAAGATGCACGGCAAAGATGAGCAGAGTGACGCACAGCATGTAGATCTGCCTGGCTTCGCAGCCCTTCACCACCAGCATAGTCCCAAAGAAGATCATCATGCGCCGCAGGAGATCCCACACGGCCCACCAGCAGTAGCGATCCTCCAGGCCACGGCGCAGAATGGACCCAACAAACAGCTAAGACGCCACCCCGTACATAAGCCACGGCGACAACAACAACAACAACAACAACAACAACAACAACACCAACAGCAACAGCAACAGCAGCAACAACAGCAGCAACAACAGCAACAACAACAACAGCAACAACAACAACAGCAACAACAACAACAACAACAACAACAACAACAACAAAACAGTCATATCACTATAGTATGTAGCCTATCAAGGGCATCCACACATGCACACATGCACACATGCACACATGCACACACGCACACACGCACACACGCACACATGCACACACGCATACATGCACACATGCACACACGCACACATGCACACACGCACACAGCTCAGAGAAGATTACCAACAAGTAAAGTTAGTTTTGGCACAGCCACACCGTGACTGTGTCGACGTCTTCTTCATTCTTCCCTTTCCAGCCTTAGAGGTTTCTCCTTGTGCTGGTGGCTACCCAAGACCTCTCAGGCACATTCCAACTGCATTTACCTCCCGTAGAAGTAGGAGCACTCCAGTCAATGGCTCATGGGTGATTCGTTTCACTTAAAAGTGAAGAGCTGTACTAAAGTATGATGCATGTGTGATGAGGGGTAGGCCACAGGCAACTTACCTGCTGTAGTAACACCCGACACATGCATGCCTGGTCATGTGACCAAGGGGAATACCCTCTTTAGTGAGGAAAAACTGGCTGCTAAGGTCATGTGACCAATGGGAATACCCTCTTTAAGCCGGGGGGGGGGATTGGCTGCTTAGGTCATGTGACCAAGGGGAATACCCTCTTTAAGCCGGGGGGGGGGGAAGGACTGGCTGCTTAGGTCATGTGACCAAGGGAAAATAACCTCCGTATATGATTGGTTGTCCAGGGTACACTCACATCTGCCTTGATGCAGAGAATGTTCCAGCCCTTGGCAAAACAGAAGCATACGACCATCACCACGACCAGGATGAAGATGCACAGAAGCGCCACGACAAAGTAGGAGACGTGCGGCATGCTGCTGAAGCACTTCTGGTCAGCCTCATAGAAGAATCGCCACTGCAAGCAACAGACAGATGGCCAGCAAGATGAGCATTGCACAGAGACAGAGATAAGCTTGAAACTGAGAAGGAAGGGGGTGATATGCTTCAAGAAATTAATAGGAGAAAACAATATTTTAAAAAATGGTCATGTTTCGCATCAGACTCTGCTGGAGGCTGAGTTTTCCGCATCCGCAGGAACGCCACCATCCCCAAGGATCAAGGCAGGAACGCCACCATCCCCAAGGATCAAGGCAGGAACACCACCATCCCCAAGGATCAAGGCAGGAACGCCACCATCCCCAAGGATCAAGGCGCAGATGCAGCTCCCAAAGCGGCGGGATGTGAGTTGATCAGACCCACCATAGACATGATCTATGTGCCGGCATAGGAGACAAACAACATAGCCAGCTACATCGATGGCCAGTCGCCACGGCATGTGCTACAGGCAACACACATATCGGCTATGCGGGCTGATAGCATGGTAATGTCAGTGAGCTCCATGATGCTGGTCATTTTTACATATAACACTAAGATCTATCTGATTAAGTAAAAGTGGGGCAGTTTCATAAACAGTTTTAGAGTAGAGCCCACCCGCTCTCTTCCATTAACACTCCAATAATTCAACTCATTTCACAATAATGTTGTGAACCTGATGAAGGCAATTTGCCGAAAACGTTGTAATATTGTGAAATGAGTTGAATTATTGCAGTGTAAATGGAAGAGAGCGGGTGGGCTCTACTCTTAACTATCTATCTAATTGATGGCCAGCGATACTAGCATACCGTACCTCTCCAAACAGCGGCACGCAGATGAAAAACTTGATGCTGGTCTGTGCAACTTTCTGAAACGTGAAGAAGATGACTAGCCATGTGCCATGTTTCAGAGTGTTTTGATCCGTTCTCCCAACCCAGTTATGCAGTGGTTTGCAGTACCTGTCAGTGATACGGTGGTAGTTACAGTGCGCCGCACACACACACACACACACGCACACACATACACACACACACCCACACACACACACACACACACACACACACACACACACACACACACACACACACACACACGCACGCACACACACGCACGCACACATACACACACACACACACATACACATGCAGATATGCCATGACACACACACACACATAATATAAAAAATACAGATATACCATGACACATACACACATATACACACACACACACACACAGCCCAGCGTCCGTCCTGTTAGCAACATCCCTTGGGATGGTCATGCTTCTTCAATGCACCTCTCAGAGGGGAGGAGAGGAGAGGAGAGAGAGAGAGAGAGAGAGAGAGAGAGAGAGAGAGAGAGAGAGAGAGAGAGAGAGAGAGAGAGACAGAGAGAGACAGAGAGAGACAGAGAGACAGAGAGACAGAGAGAGAGACAGAGAGAGACAGAGAGAGACAGAGAGAGAGAGAGAGAGAGAGAGAGAGAGATGCCTGGGGAGAACTAGAATATTAGTGATGCACTTATCATGCTTCCCTGACTAAGAATGCCTTCTACACAGCCGCACATTGGATGATAAAAGAAATCCTAGCTTTGATGTAGAGACAGGACTGGTAGCCTGGGCACATTTGGCAGAGGATAATGGTTTGTATTCGAGGCTCTAGCTTCTGCTCATTTTAGTCTGCTTTTGTCAGCCCAAGGCTGCTACCCCCCCCCCCCCCCCCCAACACACACGTCGCAAGTTTGTATTCACAGTCCACCATTTTTTTTTTAATTACTGTAAAACCGGAAAAATTCGGTGGAGATTTATTTTCGGCCACTTCGAAATCAATGCAAAGATGATTGGCAAGAAAGTATGTGTTTGTTATGTGTGGCAAGTTTTAGTGTAAATCGTCTCATTCTTCGGTAAAGGTAATTTTCACCTAAAATATAACGCGACCTAAAATTCAACAATGCCATGCCACACAGTGTAAAACATGCACTTTGGATCTGGAAAACTGGTTTACGGAAATTTCCGCGCTACCGAATCGTTGATTTTTGGGAAATACCGAAAGCATTACACCACCGAAAATTCCGGTTTTACAGTAGCCTGATAGTTGGTCTTCATTGAGATGGCAGGCCGGAGTGGTGCTTCCTAGCATGTTTTCAGAATAGTAGGTTCGATGGGCATCCCACGTGTTCTGGATAGCAGTTGTGAGCCTGTCGAGTGGAGTCGTCAGGAAAGTGCCATCTCCATGCAGGGAGCAACACACGATTCCGCTATTCAGGTCAAAGTCAAACGGTAAGGGACGGCTACAGTGGAGTCTTCGCATGTTGAGACTCCCCTCCCAAAACACAGTACAAGTGATTCTCTTGCCATAGGAGGTCGCGTCACACTGATGCACTATGCACGGCCCGGCTTACTTGGTCAGCAGGTGTAAGAGACCCATAACAAAGATAGCACCAATCGGAGCAGCATATCCCAGTGCAATGGCTTGCAGTGACGACAGGCCGGAGATGATACAGCTACTTCCAGGCCAGGCAACTTCTCCCATTGTCATTATAGAGCTAAACCAGCCATGGGAAAGCTGCAGCAATACAGATATGCACATGCACACACGCACACACGCACCCCCCCCCCCCCCCCACACACACAAAAGCACACACATGCAAACGCGCACACACACGCGTACACAAATGCACACCTGTTAGCCGTGTATCACTGCAGAAAGGCGATAATGGTAATGCTACAGCGGACGCCATAGCGATTTGCGCTGGGGCAGCAACAACGTTCAATAGCTCACAGCACTCAGTTTTTAAAGAAAAGGCAAGATGCTACCAATCCATTACAAAGTCTGTTCCGGAGTTCATCATACAGTGGAGATCGGATATAACAACCTTGCATATAACGACAGATTGAGTTTAGCGCCACAATTCTGTTGGTCAAGTCGTTTAGTAAGTCCTTTGTGAAGATCGGGTTTAGTGATAGATCGAATATAGTTTTTCATTTTGTTCTCTCCCGAAGGTGTGTCGTTATATCCAATCTCCACTGTATTACCATGTTGAGTAGTGCATGCACAGGTAGATTTAGATAGCCCTTGCTTCATTTCTCACACAACTTACCAAGGCCTCATCCTCGGGGCAAATCAGAGAGCGTGTAACGGCGGCGGCAAAGAACAGACCCCTCAGATCGTTGGACAAGGGCACATTCAGAAACAGGATGAAGAACACGATGATAGGGACAACTGCATGACAGAGCACACCAGGCAAGAGCAACACGGACATATCTAGATTTATTGACTTGTTGCGAAAAAGGCCATCATGGTTTGGGGTAAACAATTCACCAACCGACAATATATCATTTGACTGAATCCAAAAGCTAGTCACAATATGCCAACATGGCACAGACTACTCACCGAGAACAAACGGTATGATCCTGTACAGGTCATTGTCAGTGCACTCAGTGCATTTACCGCTCTCTACCGTGATGGAGCGTGTGTGTCCAGGTGGACATTTGGCACACAGGATGCCAGTCCTGTTGTTGGCACAGATCTCATTCTGATCCGTGTAGTTGTACAGACACCCGACTCCATCTGAAAACACACACACACGCAAACACAATGTCAACCACACAGGGAAAGTGAGAAAGACGTTTTTTTTTTAACCCTTTCGAACTGCACTGATCACACCACGCCAAGAGATAGCTGCAATTGCAACTATACTCGCTTCCAATTTCCATCATAACGCTGCTTCTACTTCACCGATTTTGACGATCTTGGGCTCGTTGGAAAGCTCTTGGAACGAGGATAACAGCGAGCCCAAACTCATTCAGGAGAGCGATTGCTGTCTGCTACTGAATGCCAGCTGAATACCAAATCTAAAACGGGAATAGTCCTTGCCTCGCCATTTCACTCGTGCTAGCTCAAAATCATTCAAATTTTTTCTAACAGACTCACAAAAGCCGTGACAAAAAGCGCTGGGAGTGATGTCACACGCTGCGTGGGCCGGAAGAGGGAAAATCCCACTTTTGAACGAAATTTGCACTTCGCTGACGCATGAGAAATCGAGCGAACGTTCGAGCACTTGCCGCTCTGTCGTACTAGCTCGTATCGACCCCGGAGTTTTTCGAGCCGACAGCTCAGACTAGCTTAGATTCTCTGCTACCTCGTAGGTATTTCGATTGTTGAATTCGGTTGAGATTTGACTGAGTTATGACTCGTTGAGTGCACTTGCACACATAACATTGGCATCGTTCGAATTCGAACGATGAGCTCCAAAGGGTTAATTAAAGGGGAAGTTAAGGCAAAAATTAAAATTTCACCAGTTGTTGTCTTCGGGGTGCTGAGTCGAATGGTCTTGGTCCGAGAAAGCTGAGACGCTCCCTTCCTACTTGAATCCCAATCGAACTCGCGCACTTCCACCGAAACTGGGTGACTGCGCCCTACTAGATGGGGATTTGTATGCAAAATGTCACTAAAAGCGCCATTTCGTTCTTATAAAAGCACGGATGACCGCGATTGGCCCATATGTTGTAGTCTTTTGGACGCTGAGTCGACTGGTTTTGGTCCGAAAAGGCTGCGATGCAGCGTTCCTTCTTTATTCCCAATCGAACATGGTTTAACTAGCGGTCACGTGCTCCTGCGTCACCTGGTCACCGTGCCTGCAGGGTACAACTTACTAGCCTGTTTGACCTTTTTTGGGTGCAGTCCTGTCACTCGAGTTGAACTCGAGTTGAACCTTGGTGTGAAAGTTGTCGCCTGCTGGCATGGTGACCAGGTGATTTGGGCACCCAGGAGCACGTGACCACTTGTTCAACCATGTTCGATTGGGAATAAAGGAGGAACGCTGCATCGCAGCCTTTTCGGACCAAAACCAGTCGACTCAGCGTCCAAAAGACTACAACATATGGGCCAATCGCGGTCATCCGTGCTTTTATAGGAACGAAATGGCGCTTTTAGTGACATTTTGCATACAAATCCAGTAGGGCGCAGTCACCCAGTTTCGGTGGAAGTGCGCGAGTTCGATTGGGATTCAAGTAGGAAGGGAGCGTCTCAGCTTTCTCGGACCAAGACCATTCGACTCAGCACCCCGAAGACTACAACTGGTGAAAATTTTTAATTTTTGCCCTAACTTCCCCTTTAAGGGGGCAGCCTACCCATAAATTTCATATGGCATTCAATTGACCGTAACTTTGGTGTTTCTCAATGGATTTGAGTGAAATTTTGACCACACACTCCTGCCACTATGCTGGCCCTCGGGACATGATTTACAAGTTCTTGCGCCTCACTGACAGGCTTTCCAGGCCGGAAAAACTCAAATTTCCGGCATAGTGCCACGGTGTGCGAGCCACCCAGGAGCCAAACAAATGCATTTACAATTTTTTCACATTTTCGGGCTCATTCTGTTCGTGCGCGGGACTCAAACCTAGAACAAGTCCAGAAGCAGCCATGGGTGATGGGGTAGGGCCCCTCAACGAGGCCCTGGAATCTGTCACAAAGGAACGAGTGGGCGTTCTCTCACACACTCCCACAGACCCAAGTCAATTTTTGAATTTTTTTAGGTTTAGCACGTGCTACGAGGTCGTACCTTCGATACAATATCCAGTGCTGGGACCTCCACAGCAAGCCATTTCCACAGCGCTGCACACCAAATCCAGGATACCCTCAGAAACCGGCAAAGACTACCACTCACGTTTCACTACTGCCTAGTACTGAATCCTACCTGACTTCTTGACACGACTCAAACTTGCCAAAGTCACTAAATCAACGTCAACTACAATAATCAAGCCACATATCTGCAACGTCACGAGGGTGCTGGCAAAAGTCCTGCTGCACGGCGGCGGGCTTCGCCCGCCGCCGTGCAGCCCAATACGTGGCTCAAAAAACTGATTTTTTGGACTTGGAGCAAAATTCTGCACACTTTCACGTGTTTCCATGATACGACAAGTTGCGCACGGTCTGCTCACATTCAAATACAGTGCTGCCAACAAATGACAGCGTGCAACAAAAAAATCTTTCCTTGCAAGGGCACATTTTCGGCCATAACTCTTGAACGGCCGGTCAGATCGGGACACAATTTTCAGAGAATTTGCAGCTATTCATGCTCTTTCAACTGACGTAGCACTCAATATGAATTTACAAATTCGATTTTTCAGCGAATTTTTGGGTAGTCTGCCACCTTAAAGGGGAACTCCACGAAAAAATGAAAATTTGATAGCCTGTAGAGTTTCGGGCGCTGAGTCGAATGGTCTTGGTCCGAAGTCTCTACGAGAAAGCGTTCTCGAGATATTTCAATTTTAGCCACGCCCCATACCAATGTATGTGTGACGTCATTGTGGCATGGTGCGAAAATACTTGGATTTTGAATCTCACTTTCTTCGGACGAAAGTCACTTCAGAAAGTAGTTTGCCAAGTCGCCTGAGCCGCTGCAATGCCAAATTGTTGTGTTGTTGGTTGTGCCAGTATCATATCATCCTCCTGGGGTTAGTTTTCTCAGATTCCCAAAGGATGGAGACCTGGCAAAGTGCCGAGATATTGCAATGCGTCGTGAAAATTTCAAGCCTATTTTCGCAGCACGAGCTATGGTTGCTCGCTGCATTTATGATCCAGAGGGACTTGAGAGCTGAGTTTTGACGAGTACGCCGTCCAGGAAAGCCCTCATCAGTGTACCAGTGCTCTCCGAACCGTGAGCCTCCAGCAAAGCGAACTCAACAAGCTGCAACTGAGAAAGCAGGGCGAGATACGTTCCATCAGGATCAGAAGAGTACATCACCCCATCAACTCCGACTGCAGCTAGCTGATGAACGGTATTACCCCAGTAAACTTTGCGCATACCAGTACTCAAACTGTGCACATCTGTCATCAACTGGGACGCAAACAGACAGACCCCCAGCAAGTACGAAGGTTACAGAACTGTTTGCTTGCGATGTGCAGGCAGCCTGCACGACGAACTGTCTCACCAATCCTGCCAAACCGAATCAGTGTAAGTTGATTTCGTGGATATGTCTCTATTTATAACAGCTACCCTACTTCTAGGCATGGTTGTATGAATATCATGTCACTCAGAGCAGTTGTTAGAAGTCTGGACAGCCTAGGAATAGTGCAAGTAAGGTGAAACAAAAATTTATTACACTCCGAGTTCCACGCTTGCGGGATCACCAGGCCAAAAAAATCTAATTTCGAACAAGGAATGGGTTCTGGTTGTATGCGAAAGAAAAGTAAGTGAATACCTATTGTGCAAGGAATACAGTGGGAACTACACATGCACTCACACCTTCACCCACATGCGCGTGCGCGCGTGTGCGTGCACACACACAAATACAACACGCACACATACGCACCCACATACTCAAACTCCCTCGCACGCACGCTAGCCTAAGGATAGTACATATGCTGTAGTAGTGGCGTACTTAGTGAAATGACTATGTGTACATCTAATGACGCCGCCACTCCACGCCAGAAGACAACAAACATCTGCTGAACATTTTTGCTCCCGTCTCTTATGGGCAACACAGGGAATGAAACGAACAATGTAATTGAGAACAAGAGTCGTCCTGTACGGTGAAGTTTCCATTTTCTCATACAGCAGTATATTGTCTAAGCAAGTGTGTTTTCTCCACATTCTTTTTGCCATGCAGGTATATCACAGTGTCATGCCAAACTACTTTCTCAAACGCATTCGTTTCTCAATTCTGGGGATGATTGGACACGCATATCTCGCAGCTCTTGACGACGTCAATGTCAACTGTCGTCACAGCACAACCAAAAAGACCGCGATAGGAAGGTATAAAGTCCAGTTCTCAAAGAATAAAGAAGACTGTGGCCAAATAGAAAATTATACGACAGAAAGAGCTATGAGTATGTTGACAAGCTCATGTGTGCCGTGTACATAGTGTGTACTGCCTGTGTGCCGCATAGCGTAGAGATCTACACAAACACAGAATGTCATATGGAATGTGTATGATGAGTGCTTGTACACATACCACATTGCCGTACCGTAATGCTGTACCGTAATAATTATTATAGTCAAATACTCATTTACTCTACATATGCGCTGTATTGCACCTACCGGTACCTACCTGCACTTTCAGTGCGCGCGCCATACTAATTTAGTGTCCACTGGTACAAAGATGGAGGATCTTGTAGAATTTCCCATAATTGCTGATTTCAAATTGAATTCCAATGATCTGGGGGATCTTGTAGAATTTCCCATAATTGCTGATTTCAAATTCAATTCCAATGATCTGGGGGATGAATACTGATTAGGACGCGTTCGATTACCTACTAGTACAGAGATGTCTTGGTCAGAAAGTACAGATGTCTTACTCTCCTGCCAGAATTTGTGCATTTTTTGGTGTACGCTTTCTTGACCCCACGCTTGTACGTTGCATGCCATGGAACGAGTTTATTGACAAAGTCTATCGCTTGAAACGATAAAGTATGGGTTCAGGTGTGATCAAATGCACCCATGGTGCTCATAAACTGTGTGCAGTGCTCTCTTCACCAACAGAACGCTACCATTCTTTGCAGATCTTGTACCAATCCAAGGGAAAATGACAAAGACAAAATAATGTGTTTGAGTCATGCGTGAAAACTTGTGATAACTACTAGCACTATAGTACAACGTTGTTCGTGCTATGCCTGACAACAATAAGTTACACAAAACATTACGCGCATCGATCCTCACAAGATAAGTCAGGACATACTCGGAGCAAAGAGAAATTTGTTTGTGTCATGCATGAAACTTGTGATAACTACCAGTACAATGTCTTTCTTGTGCGACGCCTACTGTAGTGCGCCTGACATCAATAAATTTCCCCCAAAAATAAGACTTAGTGTATCATGCTGATACGCGATCCTCACAAGACAAGTCAAGGCAAACTAATTGAGGCTCACCTAATGTCAGACTCTTCTGTCACTGGCATTGGCGGCTTCTGCATGTCGAGATAACCTCGAAGAGCAGTGGTGGGCACAGCCTAATGCAAGGATACGATCTCGTAATCTGCGAGGTCCGCTACGCAAGAAACCTTGGGTCGTCTTGTCGACAGCGACGGCAGCATCCTACCAGCAAAATCATTCCCGCGGGCTGGGCATGGCTATACACTTTCGTCCACGCTCGCACCGGTCGGAGTCCCAAACGAATCGAGATTCTGGTGGCCAAGGTACTCGTCTTCTGTCGGACGCAGCTGCTGAAGTATCTTCTTCCTCAACATTTGTTACACGCGATGGCAGCTCCTCAGCAGAGTATCTGAGCTCCCTGCCCCAACCATACGCGGCGGTGGGCTGTTGGTCGTCTTCACTGGCCTCAGCATCGCTGCCTTCATTGCTGGGGACAGAGGATTGTTCGGAATCGCCCATCTTCCCTTGAAATACCAACTAAAATTAGTGCTTGTAGATTGGCGAAGAGAAACGACTATGCCACAATGACGTAGGCAGCCCGTGATGACGTAGCCAAATGGCCGCATGACGTCAGGGCGCGGCCCCCGTTTTTGCAATTTCAAAGTGAAATATCTCAAGAACGCTTCGTCGTAGAGGCTTCGGACCAAGACCATTCGACTCAGCGCCCGAAACTCTACAGGCTATCAAAGTTTCATTTTTTCGTGGAGTTCCCCTTTAAGAGGGGAATAGGTGAGAGGGGGGGGGGGGGGGGAGGGAGGGACACACAAGGCAGAACATGAGCAATGGCATGATGTGGATGGGGATAACGTGACATGTGCACAGCACAACCTTGATATGCTCAATACTGCTGGAGTACTGCTTCCACAAATAAGCGACAACACTTTGGCTCGTTGTGAGTGATGCTAGCACAGAAAACTTGCCGAATTTTTAGTTAACGGAGGAGCAAATGCAGCCGAGTGAATAAGACAAGGAAATCCTCACCTAGTGAAGTGCTGCAATTTGGATCACTCTGCAAGAACAGAAACAAGGGGTAAGCAGGAAAGGCACAACAACAATCAACATGTGAACTAAAACACTTGCATAGGCAGCCACACGGTGTCCGCATGAACGTTTGGCCACAGAATACAGAATACAGAATACAGAATACAGAATACAAGAGATCGACAGCATAAATCCACACGAACAGAAGGGACTGAGGAATTCATCATGAAGGTTCATGATAGGATGTAAAAGGGTTGAACTGTGCGCTCTAGAATCGTGCACACTAACGTACCTGATTGTGCTGCTCATTACTTATGTGCTGTAATTGCTGTTGCACCATGACTGTAACCGTGGCAACACTGCATACACATGTTCTTGCACCATGACTGTAACCATGGCAACACTGCATACACATGTTCTTGCACCATGACTGTAACCGTGGCAACACTGCATACACATGTTCTTGCCACCGTTCAAAATAGATCGATACGTTTTTTAGGAAGTTTACTTATTTATGCTGTTGCCTCTTGTGTGCTCCGTGTGCGGCTGGTTGGGTTCTTTTCTTTAACTTTGAGCTCTTTTCATTTGCTTCGAGTTCTTTTCATTCGCTTTGAGTTCTTTATATTAATTGTTGTTTTGGGTTTTAGTTGCATTTCTATTATTGATCAAGATGGGTTTTTGCCCATACAAGATGCTTGAGTCATATATCGATGTGGCTGGATACTAGACTGGAATGCACAGAGCACATACAGCATTGCGCTAACCTTGCTTGTCTTGCAGTAGCCAACCGGACAGATGGTGACTTCAAACTTGCTCTGTGCGTATCCACGGCATTTCTGCGCAGTGACATTGTTGTTGCAGTCATCCGGCCGGTTGTCACCGCCCCACAGACCATTGAAGAGATAGGCAAAGCGATTCTTCTCACACAGCTGCACGTCAAGATGCCGCTTCGTGTTTCCGCATGCACACAGGTGCAGGTACGGAACCACGTGCTTATCTGCCGAACAAGCAACAATCACCACAGCAGAATAGCAAATCTTGGATTCAGTTGTACAAGTACATACGAGACAGTTAGCAGCAGCGCTCGGCCCTTGAACATTCTGCGTCCACTTCAACACCACCGAAACAGCTGTCGGAAGGAATTAAAAACATGTTCTGTACTCTGAAGGAACCTCGTGTTGTTGCTGTTGTGGGGAATGCACGCGGTCGGCCGCAGAGCGCAACGGTGGTGGTGGTGAAGCGGACGCATGTACATACAGTTCAACGAATTTCAATCTCACGTCATACCTGCTCCAGTACATACTTGACAGTCGATCAATGCGCTGCTACACAATTCAGCCATTGTCGATCATTTCAATTCAGTGGTGAAAGTGAGCACAGTCGAAGAGTAACAAATCCACAATGCCTTCAATCTGAAAAGCAAGAGTAAGAGGCGATCAAAGCACTCCCTCTCTCTCTCTCTCTCTCTCTCTCTCTCTCTCTCTCTCTCTCTCTCTCTCTCTCTCCTTACTTGTGTAGATACTGTAGAAGCCATGCCTGCACTTGGCAAACGTCACGTGTAGCGTGTGCACGACCAGGCGAGCCGTTCCCACCACCGACAGCGAGAAGTTAGCCGATGAGCCAATCCATCCTGCTATTGCCAGGTCCTGCGGTGAAAGAACGGTAGAAAAACAGAAACACTTGTTCGGTTAGTACCCCAGGGGGTAACTCGGACCTCTTTTGTCAACCTAGTCGCTACATTAGCAGTACAGTCCAATCAGCTTGGAGCCGTGATGAGTTCAAAATAGCAAAACGCTATGTTGCATTGGGAGTTTAGATATGCCTTGCTAGCTAGGGTAAAGATGGTCCATAGTTGATTTCAGTTGTATTGAGTAGGAAATGCTGGAGGGTGGAGAATACTCTTGTTTGATAGAGATCGACATACGGTGAGCGGCTCAGCCCATCTTCGTTGTACATACATACTTCACACTTATGGATGTGAAGCAACACGCCAGTGCTATCATTCGATAACTCTGCGCCAGGGCTACATGTGCCATGTAATTGGTGGTTGGCATGATACAGGTCCCTGCAGAGGTCACACACACACAACTGTGCAGCACCACTGTACAATGAACCATACAGCCGTGAAAAGGGTCGCAAGAACTTGAAAGCCCTCATGAAACCCATACTTTAAAATTAAAAAAAGTACACACATCTATCACTTCTATCCGGGCCTCGAAGTTACATGCACCTGGGTCTACCAGGCACCCCGTGGGTGAGTGGTAGTGGAAATATTACTACTCCTCTGCCAATTTTTGTGGAAACAGTGATGTCATATGCCGGATCTCTGGCCCTTCTCCACATTGGAACGTACGTGGGTTAGAGTTACACGCACTACGCAGATATGGGCAGTGCCAGGTCCCGGAACCGTCCGGATAGCGGAATATGAGTGTAGAGTACATACAGATAACTGCCATTACACTGTATTTACCCAGATAACTGCCGCATTATATTCACAATCCAGCCGCTCTACCCGATATACGCAACCAGTACAAACAAACGGAAACTTAACCCCCCCCCCCCCCCCTCTCCACACACCCTGAGAATGCATCGCATTGCCATATTGGCATGGTCACATTGAAAATGCACGTACACTTGTCCAGTTATCTCTGAACTGCAAGTACGGAGATGTTCTTATCTGTGTGTTGTTGGTAAGGTCATCGTCATCCACTGCAGGAATCACCATGAACAGTGCATCACGCTGCAAGGACATTCATCACAGATACCCATTCCCGCACAAATAAAGTCAGCACACACATACACACATACACACGTACATAGGAGCCCACACACGCATGTACACCTCATGCACACACACACACAGAAACATAGTTATTTGAGCATTCAGATCCAAGAAGGTGGTTGATGTCATTTCTGAACATTTTCAGGTGGATTAATGGACCTGGAGTGAAACAACTGACCCAAATTCGTTATCGACTAGATTCAATGCTATCGACTCACTCTCGATTACTTATCAATGGTCATTGCTTTCATACATGAACACAAACACGACACATTATTTACACACACACACACATACACACACACCACACACACAACACAAACACACGCACACACACGCGCACACACACACACACACACACACACACACACACAAACATACACACACATATACACACACACATACACACACACATACACACACACACATACACACACACATACACACACAACACACACACATACACACGCTCGCACACACACACACACACACACACACACACACACACACACACACACACACACACACACACACAAACACACACACACACACACACACACACACACACACACCTGCATGTGAATGTTCACCCAAACATTCAGAAACAACAGAAGCACAATAGGCGAGCATTATAGGTTTCAACGTTCAAACGGACCCATGACGTATGAGATTCGCACCGTCATGCACTCGGTGAGAAAGTGAATTGGATTCATGCGCGAAGTGTACTTCACAGTGCATGGTCTGAACTCACGGAACAAGTGCATGAACTATACTTACCTCAGACATTCATTATGTGAGCTGGTAATGATTTTCCTTCTATTGACTCAACCTTATCGACTGGCCAGTGGACTTATCGACTCACTTCACGGTTTCACCGCAAACACACATGCAATGAATGTACCATCATGCTCCTTACCGGCTGGCCAAACTGGTCAGTAGCAACGCCCCTGAGGCGGAAATACTCATCAGACGCCACCACACACCGTATCACAACCAGACCATCGGGCAGGATCTCCGCCGGATCTGGACACGATTCCGTGGTGTTCCACGTAACGGCCACGACGTCGGTGGATAATGAATTCGGTATGCTGCGGTTGCGGAAATCGGGATCACCCTGCAGCTTTTCGTAGCTGATGGTCGGTAGCCATCTCGGAGACCAAGCATGGTCAACACTTGGTATACCATTGCTGCTGCCTCCTGCACCACACAGAGCACAGAATCACCAGCCATCAGTTAATGAAGGCTGAGCCTGGATACATCATGATTTCGGCACACTGCACCCAGGACAAGACCAAACGTCCAATACCAAACACACACTGCAACTCTACATGGTATTGTACGTGACACAGGTGTGCTAGGAGAAATCAGACCAAACGTGTAAAGCTGGTGCCCGGGATCAGTTCTCATTACACCACTGTATTTGCACATGTGAAGGTGCAGCAGTATTCGCACCACTTCCAGGGCGTCGAGACAGTGCAAGTCCGGGGCACCAAATACGCACTTTGGGTAGGATGTCAGCTAGCATAACTGAAGTATCAACCTGCACGAGGCCGGCGGTCTACGAGATGAAAGTGGAGCACCGTGATCTGCTCTTTCATGGGACGCTCAGACCAAGACTGCAGGGGTATAGCTGGTCCCCCTTTTTGGGGGGGGGGGGGGGTGCACGGCCGCATATGTGTAGGATGGCTGGTGCATGTCATTCATGGTCATTATGTGCATTCTGAACCTAGGTCGACATTTTTGGGGGGGGGGGGGGTCCAAGTGCCCCATGCGGGCTACGCGCCTGGAGACCCGTGTATGATATTTTGTTGTAGAAGTGAACTAGTCAAGTGGTCACCCGTACCGGTGCTGGAAACTATTCAAGTGCTTCTTACCCAATGGTCCCGCGTACGGAGATCCCAAAGTGAGTTCATCGTTCACCACATTGCCACCGGTCCCGTTGTCAAAGAAATGCTCTTCCCAGCGCTGCTTGAATGTTATGCTCGAGCGATAATCCTGCATGGCGGAGAAGAAGAAAGACAAACAGATTTTCATACCAACAAACAGTGCACAGTTCTTTGTTGCCATCTTAAATAGACCCGTCAATTCAGAGTAGCAATAGGTTTTTCATTCAACAAAAGATGAGACGTCGGCCGGAGTGTGGCCGGTGAACTGTTCATGCTGTCCTCTGCAAGCGTCGTGTGGTCTCGTCGGGTGAAATGAAAACACCTTTTACACTGCACAATGCAAAGTCTGGCACTTGCAAGCTTCGTGTGGTCTCGTTGGGTGAAATGAAAACACCTTTTACACTGCACAATGCAAAGTCTGGCACTTGCCTGCAGTGCGGCATCTAGCACACAATAATAGCGGTATCGAAAACCTGACAGAAGTAAACCTGACAGAAGTGAACCTGACAGAAGTAAACCTGACAGAAGTAAACCTGACAGAAGTAAACCTGACAGAAGTAAACCTGACCGAAGTAAACCTGACAGAAGTACGCTGAACTTGCCTGAACAGCATCGCCATGCCAAAGCACCCAAAACCAATAATAGTAAGTTGTGAGTGAAACGAACCGGTCTATCTAAAATTCCAATAGCCCTTTTTTCGATTGGACTGTAGGCTGTATTCAATTCTGCAGGTGTTAGTTTTTGTTCATAGCCAGTCTAAGTTGCTTTTCGTTATCAATGAGAGAACCAGCAGGTGCTGTCAATGTGTTAATCAGCTAAAATAGTATTGTGCTACCTGCTGTTGACACATGGTAACACATGGTAACACATGGTGACACCTCCCTTCCTTTTCTTCTTTTGATAGGGATATTTTTCGTGGTTGGATTCACCCTCCCTTTCTTGTATTGGCTATGTATTATTATGTGCCATGAAGTGGAGATCATCAAATATAAAATAAATAATCACCAGCCTGTACCGTGGAATTGCTTGTTCATCTTAGTGCAACCTGCTAAGATTCAATAGTCAGAAGATGCATGCCACAAGTTGCCTGTTGTCCAGAACAGCCGACCACATGAGTATACATGTTCCCTCGTCCATATTTCAAAACTAACTGCAATGCACTTACTATATCCTGCTGCTCGTCGTAAGAAGCGAGAAAGAGGCAAGGGGTAAAGTCCGGTGCAAAGATGCCAGCGCCCGCCTGGCCCGCCATGTTCTCACGGAACGAGATTGAGCAGGTCCAGTTACTGACGCTTATGCCAACATGGTGGTAGGTGATGAAGCAGTGCGGGGTCAGTTCTGATGCAACAAGGCCAACAGACCTGCAGCAAGTAAGGGAGAACGAGGCAGAGAGAGAGAAAGAGAGAGAGAGAGAGAGAGAGAGAGAGAGAGAGATAGAGAGAGAGAGAGAGAGAGAGAGAAAGAGAGAGAGAGAGAGAGGAAGAGAGAGAGAGAGAGAGAGAGAGAGAGAGAGAGAGAGGAAGAGAGAGAGAGAGAGAGAGAGAGAGAGAGAGAGAGAGAAAGGAGTATGAAGACATAGCCATCGACAGAGGACAATATTTGTTCCAATTTGCTTGTGGGAATATGACCTTTTGATCTCGCACAGGTCACCTACACACAATGCATTGCATCCGAAATACCTGCATGCACAAAGGTGGGTTTCTACAGGAACCATGAAACTCCAACAGGGTGGCCCATGATGAGTTGCAAGTACACGATGCTAGTAGAATGGCCTACCTGGTATGCATCGTGGCGTGAATACCACCACCAGTCGTCTGCGCAATGTTACCGTTGAACCAGATCTGCACATTCTCGTACACAATCACCTGGCTGTCGGACAGGAACATGCCACCGCCCAGGCCACCGACGTTCTTGTCGAACATCACCTCCGTATTGTTCGTCACGTACATATACGAGTTGACGAGGTTCACAGCCGAATTCAGATTATCGTAGAAGGTGATCGAGCCGAGCAGGACAACATGGCCGAAGCTCACACCCAGGGCCCCTGACGTATACGCCTTGTTGGACGTGAACACGCAGTCTTTGACCAGAGTCGAGCTCCAGTGGATCTCTATCAAGATTGCCGCACCATCACGAATGGTCTTCATGCCCTGTTGGTGCGAGGACACAGCGTAAAGACCGGAACCAGAAATTCCACTGTTCTCGTTGAACACACAGCCGTCCAACAGAACCTTGTTCTTCTCCTCCGCCGAGTGGTAGTTGACGTGCATACCCCCGCCCTCGGACGCCACGTTTGAATCGAACCTGGCGTATGTGAAGTTGGCGTCGTTACTTATAGTATTCCTGCCGAGATCCACCGATACTGCACCGCCGCGGGATTGGTGGTATGTGTGCTTATCGTGCGGGTACGCTCTGTTCCGATAGAACGTGGCATTGCGAGACGCCAGCACATTTGAGTGGGTAGTGTCATCGAACAAAACGTGGAGCGCGCCGCTTCTCTCGGCATGGTTGTGCGTGAAGTTCACATCGTCCATCGACACCTTCCATTGGCTTGAATCGGAGCGAAAGTGCAGGCACACTGCACCACCGGAAGCAACAACAGGTGACAAGTCGTTGACACGGCCGTTCTGGAACAATGTTCCTTCACCGATGGTCAAGGCCCCGGCGATGGTATCCTGTCCCGGCGCAGCGATGCTGGAGTTTCCGGCCTCGCCGCTCATGTATGCGTAAATGGACCCACCGCACATCTGCTGCCCGCCGTTGAGCCTGTCAATGAGACGGCGTCCAAGCCCCGGGTCACTCACCGCCGTGTTGTTCGTGATGTCCATTAGTATAGTGTTATTCATGAAGGACGTGTTGGTCACAGCATACTGCTCCATGCTACCGCCACTACACGCATTGTTGTCGGCCAAGTGCCCATGCATGCCTATGCTCACGCCAGCAGTGATCACAAGTGGCAGGATGGACTTGTTCAGGGCCAGCATGCTAGAGTCTTGCACGACAATGTTGTTGTACTCAAATCGGCACGAGTTGATCCGCACGCACGAACCGGGCACATCCACCAGCAGCGGGGTGACGGCATTCCCGGAGAACACGCAGCTTGTAATCGAGATGTCCACCACCAGCACGGATTCACTGAAGATGGCAATAGCAGCAGTCACGCCGCCATCCAGGGCATAGGAGCCTGCACTCACATGTACATTGGTTAGGGATAGGTTGCCAGTCGGAGTGCTGAACAGCAATGGGCACGATTTTATCATGATAGGGTTCGCATCCGCAGCATCTCCAAGCGAGTAGTCATTGGCTACGCCGACGATTCGAATGAAGTCGGTCGTGGAGCACTCGAGTGTGACCGGTCCGGATCCGGTACTGGAGATGGAAATTCGGGCTGTTCTTGTGGCTAGTATTGCCACTGTCCTACTGTAGTCATAAACACCTGTGACCAGGAGAACCTGCAGGGTTTCGCTGGGTGGTGCGCTAGTGATGTTCAGCGAGATATCGTGCGCACTGTAGCTAGGTTCCACAATGAGCTCGGCAGCGAACACGTGGCCCACAAGAGCGAACAAAAACGCAGAAAGAGTTTTCATGAACCCTCTATCGGCTGGCTGTGAGCACGCAAACATGTTCATCCCTGCGCCAGCCGAGCGGTCGTTAGCACGAGGAAAGACTTTGTGCTGCCTAGCCTACTCGGTTTTTGAAAACCGTCACCTGCGCGAGCCACGCTTGTGCTGCAACTGTACTTGCACAAGAACACTGGAAAAACAAACTGCTAACTTTCTTCTCATCTCCTTTACTCTATCGGAAAAAAAGAAATTCTCAGACGTTCATTCTATTGTCGTATTGACAATTGTTGATAACATCTAAATGCCCGGATCTTCTGTAGCCTGAATGCAACAGGCTAGTGGATGTAGAAACATTTTCACCTGGCTGTGACGACCTTCTGAACTCAAACAACATTGTTTATCCCTCGGCCACTGTCCACGGGTGTTAGCTGCACTTGGATCGCGGCAACTAACTATTACTTAGTTTTCTGCACGTGAACCATGAAAAATCAATGCATGCTCATGCATAACCAGTCAGCTGGCCTGCTCGCCCACGCATTTGACAGGTAACAATTCCATCAAATTTGAGATATCCCTTCGTTCTAAGTCTCAAAACAGTTCTAAAGTCACCAAACCACGCTGGTAATCGATGGCTATTCAATGTTAACATCTTCAGGAAGACTTCAGCCGTTTCCCTAGACTAGAGTTTGGGCGTCGTTGCCGTTATTTTTCACGGTGTTCTTCTTCCTCCTGTCTGGAGCTGCAATTGCATCCTGGAATTATTTGAAAGGTATTTCGTGCGGGCTGTGGGGGGTTCCAACAGGCATAAACTGACATCGCTATAGGATAACTGGTAACTTTCACCCTTCAAGGAGGTAGAGCAATGAGAATTTTTTTGTGGCGGTCGTCCAATTTTTGTGGCGGTCGTGGCTGTATTTGTCTGTCCCTCCAGGAAATCGCGATTCCACGGATGCAACAAATTTCGCGATTTTCGCCCAAACCCGCGATTTTCAGCAAAATCCGCGATTTCCCGCGTTTTTTGTTGTTTTCTGCACTATAATCTCACTTTTTATGCACTTTTCACGCAGTGCTTTCCATGATCCTGTACTGCTGTAGGTTATTTGCATAGTAGATCTACGACTCGGACTACTCCCGAGTAGATATACGATGCAACAAATTTCGTGATTTGGCCCAAATCCGCAATTTTCTGTAAATAATTCCGCGAATTCCTGGCAAATTCTGCATCATTCCGCACTTTTCGTCGCATTTTTTGTTGTTTTCTGCCGCAATTTCTTGCGCAAGTTTTCGAGAGTTTTTTCCGCAAATTCCCGCAGGGACAGATTTGTGCACTTCCAAGGCTTTCATTCTGCCTGATACTACTCTCTACTGAGTACTGTATTGGAATCGTTGTTTAGGCATCTGTAGCTGTCTTAATTTGGTAGATCTGCTGTTTGAATCACTTGGGACACTTTGTCTAGCCTATTTGTCTTTCGTTCGTGCCATCTATCAGTTTTGTGGGGTGCCTTGGCCTGTATTCGTGAAGTTCTCGAGTAAAGACCCTAATTCTTGACTGGAGTCACGACTTGAATTGTATTTGCTGGGTGAGCCCTCGTTCACGCAGTTGTCCTTATCATAATAGTCAATATCTGCTTGCTGGACGGACTAGCGGCTAGAATAGGCATGACCAAATGGTCCAAGTGTGTACTAGTACCCGATTATTGTTTCCATCATCGTGAAATGAGCGTTGTGGAATTGCAGTCGTCTGCCTTTGGCACTGAGGACATGAGGAGAGTTGATTGTTACTTCTGCTCAGCAATGAAGCGATCATCAGCTCTCTTTGTTCTAATTATTGAGAGGACATACCGGCATCGCAATCAAGTAAAGATTAGGCAAACCTCGCCAACCTCCAAAGAGAGTCAAAGGTATTTTCTCCAAATGCAAAGACGATCTTTGAGACTTTGTGACTTGCATTTCCGTGCACACATGAGCAAGTCACGGACCACGGCACGTGCGCGGTTACCATGCCATCTCGAACCGCGACGCCATCTTTCTAAGTTAGTTGCCGCTTCTTGACAGCCGTGGTCAGCTGTGCCTGTGGCTCTTCGTGACGTTAGTGTACCGGTACTGAGTATGTGTATCTACCGACTGCCGTTTTCACAACTAGTCCACAGGCCAAGGTGCAAAAAAGTGACTATTCGCTCTTTTCGCTCCCGTTCAAGGGGGACAAAGGTTTGCCATGTGCAAATGATAGAGAATGCGTAGAGCTTGACCCAGAAACATGGGGCTTTGTTGACCAAATCGACGAAAATTAATACTTCTCGAAGAGTGTTACCATAGCAACCAAAGTGATAATTCCCAATTTAGGTATCTTGCAGATTAAATACTAACAGTGTTGCTTTGGAATGAAGTAGCCAAGACCCAGACCTAGCTGTGTACAAATTTTCATGATGATCGGAGGTGTCTTACTACCTCAATAGCATTGCTTGGAATAGAACACAATAGCGTCAATTGTTGACCTCATACATGCATGGACACCTTGGTATGGGGATACTCATGTACATGTATTTTATTGTACGTATGGTCACTTGCAACTTGCAAGTACGAAAAAAGGCACAATTTCCCGAACTTTGAGGCTCCATAAGTACAACAAAGTGAGTATATATCCCCGGGTGCCAAAGCATATTATGAGGATTTTACGAGCATAATGCGAGAATCCATGAAAGCATAATTCCTTGATTTTGCGAGCATAATCCGCCGGAGCCTAGCTCCGGCGGATTATGCTCGCGAAATCATGGAATTATGCTTTCTTGGATTCTCACATTATGCTCGCAAAATCCTCATAATTATTATGCTTTGGCACGCGAGGATACATATTCACTTTGTTGTACCTATGGAGTTCGGAAAATTGTGCGTTTTTCGTACTTGTAAGTGGCCATAAGTGCAACAAAATGTTACACGTGTCCATGCATACTAGAGATCAACAGGGAAAAGAGAAAACAGTCAATACTCTTCTATTCATTTCTTTACTTCTTTTGTAAAAATATTTTTTCATTGCCAAATTAGTTTGAGTTACCTTTGACATTTTTCATGTTCAATTGTCTTCATAATCGTCACACTCGTCCAGCCGATGTCACCCTCACCCTGCGAGTAACCAGCTCATCTCTGCTGTAGCTCCACGTCTCCTTCCATCATGAGCCACTTGGTACCTCAAGCCAAATGTGACCAAAACCGAGCTCCTCCTTTTTCCCCAGCCCACAGATCCAGTGCCCATCTTCCCCTTTCCCGACGACCCCGGTCACCCTATTTCCATCATGAACACCTTGGCATTGTCATAGTGTGAATTTTATCAATGAAAGCGAGAGCACTGTATTGTGCCGTGGTCGTCATGGTTATGGACTACAGTTAAAAGTTTGGAAGCCATCTGTCAGCATCTGTATACTCCTAATTTGTGTGTACAGAAGGATAGTATAATTGGGTTGAAATTGTTCAAGTAAAGTGTCATGTTTTGTGCGGCCAAGCCGTTAATTTTCTAGGTGTAATGTACTGCTGTTATTTGTTATCACTTTGTCCCCTTCTCTTCTTTGTTCATTTTTCAGTTGCAGGTTTAGTGTTAGTACACGCATTCGTTATTGCTCTCGCTTTCATTGATAAAATTCATACTTGTAAATTTCACTGCTGTTGTTCTTAGTGTTATTTCTCTAACTTAGATTTTCTATAATAGTTCAATTTTGTTTTAAAATGGCAATAAATAAGATAAATTGTGCACTCATAACAACAGCAAAAATGAAGAAAGTCAAGTTCCATAACGTTTTCTTGTGACTGTCATCAGTGGAACACCGTCACATACAAATGTCATAACTAAAACACACACTTATATACATGTAGCTAATATGGTTTCAGGTAGAATTACAGCAGCTAACAAGTACAAAAAGCGAAGTTTGCACCTTTGCAATGTGTGAATATAGTGTATATGAGAAAGGTAGTGGCAGATGAATGTGATACTGTGTGAATGAATGTAATGGTGCGTGTGTATTACTTGAAGAGTGTGAGTGATGCAACGTTTTCTTTCTGTTTACATAGCACAGGGTCACGAGTACGAATATACACAGCTTCCAACACCTGCAATTGCTTGAAGAAACGTGCGCAACGAATAACACTACTAGTAAAGCAGGAATCGTCAAACACCTTACGACATTCTGGACTGGACACCAAATGCTTGTACACTGCGGACTTCCTCTTGTCAACATCAAACTCACAAGAAAACGTTATGGAACTTGACTTTCTTCATTTTTGCTGTTGTTATGAGTGCACAATTTATCTTATTTATTGCCATTTTACGACTATTGTCTCCTCGTCGACAATTTTGTTTTCATTGTCCTTTAGTACAACGAAGATTCCTGATGAGTGTTGTACGAAAACTTGTTTGAATCCTCATTTTCTCTACACCATTTCTTCACATTTTAATCGTTTTATTGCACATTGTCTCCACAGTTTTACAATACACGAATAAAGTGTACACAAATGTCGATCCAGCTTGTATTACTGATTGCGGTTATTTTATTATGCCCAAATTATGCCAGTGATGATGCTATACTATACCATTGCACTCGTGTTGCATTTTATACATTTACCAGGTTATTTCCTATAACATGCCTAAATATGCCTGCTTAATCTTCAGCCAGCATCGCAAGGTTACTTGCATGCCGACCGTCTGGCCTCAGAAGTCCTTTTATGCCAGAAATTATGCCAGCATAATCCGCCAACGGCTACACCGACATTACGATAGGTCCTTAGAAACGAATTACTTAGTTACAATGGTGGGAGTGATCGGGGTAGCCCCCCCCCCCCCCCCACACACACACACTGGGTATTCTGCCTGGTGCTGCTGTTGCGGGTGTGTGGCTGATGATTGTACAGACTGGCGAGTACAAGCGCAGGGCGAGGCTCATATTGGACCGACAGTCTAGTCTAGTCTAGTCTAGTCTAGGACTAGGTCTAGGAGCTCACTAAATGCATGGACTTGGAAGATGCTGTCTCCAGGGCCAGGGGGTCGTAGGGGTCTGTCAGTGTAAGCAGAGCAGGTGATAAGGGGAAGTGAGGGAAGGGTCACTGACCGCAATTCGACTCATTTCAAGCCAAACCGCCAAGTCCCAGTCCACTGCGCTCAAGGACCTTGGCTTTAGGCTTAGGAAGTCGAAGCGGCGCTTGATGCCATTGATGGAGATGAACGACAGTACAGAGTCAGTCAGTAGCTGCGAGCCTTGGGGATTTGAAAAATAATCCCCTCGGAACCGTGCAATATCTTATACATAATGTAGATCTACATGACAAAGGCACAAAGCCAGGTACTAGGTGTAGATCTACATGCACTGACATGACGTCATGATACTGTGACAGTCTCCAGTTTTACCGACTCATGACTCATGTCCTTGCCTTCACCGTTGACACAAATCCAAAAGACAGGTCATAGCCTAGGTCTACGCGTACCCGGACACCAACAAAAGCAACACAAATGGACACCCACCCACACACACCCGCACAGTACAGCCATTCAGCGGGTCAGAAAACTGTGAATGATCTCAACAATGACTTCCTTTACTTTCCTTTACTTCCTTTACTTGGCATGTCCGTGCCTTTTTTGGATTTTTTTTGGATTGGTTTATTTAACGTCGAATAACAAACAGGCAGTGTTGCCTTATTACATGAGATCGACTAAAGACAAACAGGCACACAAATGTAAGGAAAAGATTAAAAAGAAAAAAAAGAAAATAGAAAAAAAGAGTAGGATTTAAGACAGCAGCTAGCTAGCAGAGGAAAGATTGCATAATTATTTGATCAGTGAGCAACGTAAGTCGGTGAATTTTTCAGGTGGGGTAAGAGAGCGGTCCGGAATTGACCTGGTTTCTTCAGTGATCGTATAGATGCAGGCAACTTATTCCAGAGAGCGGGACATTGATATGAAGGGCTGCGTGTGGCAGCGGCAGATATGATCCTCGGGAAAAGAAGCAGGGGAACATCTGTGCTCCTCGTTCGACGGGTGTGTGACAGAGGTGTGACAAGGTCATGAAGAAGCACACTACAGTTATTATGAATTACACGAAATGTTAGCAGGAGGAGTTTGCGGCAATACATTGATTGCAGGGGTTGAATGCTGAGGCGTTCAAAAAGAGGGGCAGTTGGAGACAGGAACGGAGCAGAGCAGACAACACGCACAGCTCGCTTGAGAAGTTTCTCAAGACGATCACGTTGTGCAGAGGAAAGGGAAGAGGAAAAGCTGTTGCATGCGTATTGGAATGTGGGTAAAATTATACATCTCAAGTAGGTTGAGCGGCATGGCATTGGGAGGCACTGCCTGTGGCGGAAGAGAATGGCAATCTTTGAGGACACTGTCTTGGCTATATGGTCAACCATTGTGTTCCATTTCAGGTCGTCATCGATGTGCAAGCCCAGGTACTTGGCGCTTGTCACTTGCTGGAGGAGTGTAGCTGCACAGTGCACATTCAATGTCTTGTCGTCATGACGATTGGCAGGAATAAACAATATTTGTGTTTTTCGACTATTCAGGATTAGGTTGCGCTCACCAAGCCAGTTGCTGAGATGGGTGATGGCTGAAGACAGGTTGTGTGACAGCACTACCTTGTCCTTCCTGCTATCGTGTAGCATGATGTCGTCCGCGAATTGGGTTACCTGGACGGCAAACTGATCCACTTCACTGGCCACATCCCTGACATATATGACAAACAATAGTGGTCCCAGTACAGACCCTTGGGGAACCCCACTTGAGCACGTGAAAGATGAGCTACTATCGCCGCTGATGACGACTTGTTGTTGACGATTTGAGAGGTAGTCGCTTAACCAGTTCAGGGCTGTGCCGGAGATTCCAAGCTGGAATAGGTCTTCGACAAGTGTCTGATGCTGGACCTTGTCAAAGGCCTTTGACATGTCCAGGAAAGCAGCGCCAGTTGACAGCCCGTCATCTCGGGCTCTTAGGAATTTGTCTGTAACCATTGTGAGAGCATCCTCTGTAGAGTGCTGGCGTCTGAAGCCAAATTGACAGGAAGGGTAAAGATTATGTTCAGCCAGGTATTGACTGAGTTGCTCATGGACGATACGCTCAAGCAGCTTGGAGACTATAGGGAGCAAAGAGACAGGTCTATAGTTGGTGGGTTGACTGGGGTCACCACCTTTGTAGACGGGAGTGATGTTGGCGATTTTCATGTTCGGTGGCAGCTGGCCTTCGGACAATGATTTGTTGAAGATGAGCATCAGTGAGGGTGCAAGAAGGTCAGCGCATGATTTAAGAATCGTTCCGGGCAAGCCATCACTGCCAGTAGCTTTTGTCATGGCTATTGACGATAGGAGCTTACGCACACGGGCAATGGTAACAGGCTTAAAGATTGAAAGGCTGTTCGGAGACATGGGGCCTTGAGGTAGAGTCAAGGCTGGGGGACGTTGAGGATCATTGACAATGCCTGCAAACACATTACCAATGTCATCCGGGGAGCATTTGGGAAGAGTGTGGACTGGCTGCCGTCCGCTCAGCTGATTCAATACACGCCAAGTCTGCCTTGGGTTCCCTGTAGCGTTCACAAATGCTTCATTGTAATGCTGTTCCTTCAGTGCTCGGCTAGTGCGGGTAGCCTCCCGTCTGCTCTGCTGGAAGCTGCGGTAGTCCACATCAAGTCTGGTTCTCAGCCACTTACGATGCAGTTTGTTGCGCCTGCGTACAAGCGCTGCGAGCTCCGAGGTATACCATGGTGCGACCTTGTGGGCACGGTGCTTCCGAGGCCGGAGTGGTGCATGTTGATCTACGAGTGACATGAGACACTCGTGCCACTGGGTCCACATTTCGGTACAGGTTCCCTTCATGGAGCACAGGTTAGCACACTGGATATCTTGCCGAAACAGGTCCATATTGATACGTCTGATGTTCCGTGTCTGTGCAGGAGCTGCAGGAGGAATTCGAATTGGAACCATGTTGAAAGGGGTTGTCACAGCATGGTGGTCGCTGAAGAATGCCTTCAGTAGGGATCTCAGCGCGTGCACTGCGCATGCAGTTCGCGCATGCAGCCAAACGCGCATCAGAAGTGGCATGCAGAATTTTTGCCAAACACTGGCTATTTTTTGCCAGAAAATTGAGACCTTGAACGAAGGAGAAATCGGGCTGAAATTTCCTTGCAAGGAGATGGTGGTTACAGGCTACCTGCTTACCAGAATGGGATCTTGTTTGGTATGTTGGCCGCCCATGTGTTCTAGAATCGATTTGTAGCTTTAGTTGGAAGGCGCGAAGCCGTTTTCGTTCCAAACGACAGGGTTCTTTCAGAGCGGAAAATGGCGACCATGCCGATCGTTGCCACGATCTCCGAGTTGAAAATCTCTGGATTTAACCGGGGAAAAGCTCTGGATTCAATGGTAAACCCGGCAGAAATACTTGATGTTGGATGTTGAGAGTTTGCAGGAAATTTGACCGAAGCGTTCATGCTCCACGTGACGGTGTTCGTTCTTGTGAATTTCTGCATTTCTCACATATCGCCGTGCATATGGGCCGTTGTTCCAGAGACATCGATTGTCAGGTGTGGACAGGGTTTTGTTCGAGTGGTCGTGGGGAGACGTGGTTTGGTTCTCACAGGCAACAGGAGCGGCTCCTCGGGATGGCGAAAGCCAAATCTACCCAAAGCCGACTTCGCGATCGCCGATCTTCTGGCGGCGCATTTTCACTTATGCTCTGCAACAAGCGGCACAAGCTGTGGAAATCGTCAGATGATATTAGCCTATCAGTGTGCCCAGAACTTCTAGTGACTCTACTGAAGCATTAGCTTGAGTAATCTTTCTTTCTAGCCTTCTCTTTCTCTCTTTATCCCTCTCTTTCTCTCTAAAAATGTTCCAAACTTCAAAATCTAGGTCGAGCTGTATCGGGGAGTCGTCAAATACCGACTCACTGAGCCGGTTTTTGGCGATCGCCATTTTCTTTCAGTCTGCCATCGCCGCGTTGAAAAATCGATTACATCATTGAATGCGCAAAGCCCTGCGCAGTGTCCGCGCTGACATCCCTACCTTCAGGCTTCACCGGTCCCGTCGACAGGTCACACCCGTACAGGGCCCCTACCAAAGCAACACAAATGCACGCCCACCCACACACCCACACGCAGTACATGTACAGCCATTCAGCGGGGGAGAAGCTGATCTCAACAATGACTTCTTTGGCAAGGCACATACCCTACTCCCTAGTCAGATCAGGCTTTTGGTAGTACAGTCATGTACTTGTGCGACGGCGGCGCACCGAGCAGCCTATTTCGGAAACGCCGTCCTGTGGTTCAACACGACCAGAATAAAGAGAAAAGGAAGGAAGCTGAGTCGACTATATATTGCGCTTAGCTGATCGTAGTGATTTAGTCAGCATCGCGGAAAAAGTAGGAGGAAGAGTTGAGTTTTAGTCAATTTTATAGCATACTTCCATCCGAGTATTACTAGTTATTCCGCAAGCCTATACTACCGAGCAGCGCAAGCAGTGCGGCTGCAGAAATAGCCGCGTCAGTGCAGTCGACTAGTCCAGTCCGTGTGATATTGTCAACATCAGTCCCGGTTAGCCAGAGTCAACTAGGATAACTGAACAGAGATTGGTATTATAACAATAATTATTATTTCCCTTCCTCTGATCTGGTCGAGTGTCGGAGCTGAGAGCGTATATTACGTATCCGAAACTCCTAATTCGGCGTGCGCTTGACCCTGCGTGCGCGTACATGTATGTGGTCCTCTGCTCCATTGTTCAGTAGTTTTACCTTCAGGCTGCTGCGATTCGGCACTGGCCATGTCGCCTAGGAGCGCTAAACACCCTTGCATGACTTCCGTCCGGGATCTCTGGCGAGTGGTTGCCATCGCACTCCTCTGCTTTCAGGCCGCGACCTCGGCACGTCTAATTGATTTCGATGAAGAATTAGCTACTGGCCACGAGCGCCTTCGACAACTTGCACACCGCTATGAGACGGTAGATGTTGACACGGCTCACCACCTGCACGGAGTTCGGCAACGTCGAGCGACTCAAGGAGACAACACCTATAGCCACCCACCTTCGACCAACTTTGACATCCAGGCCTTTGGACAGACATTTCGCCTGCAGCTGGAGTTGAACACAATGCTGTTACCAGTCGGCACACAAGTACGCTACTTCAAAGAGAATGGAGAGCTTGTTGTGGATCATGATGCTGTCAACTGCTATTACCAGGGTGAGATGGATGGATTTAGTCATGGAACAAGTCATGCTGTAATCAATACATGCAATGGAATTTCTGGATCATTTGGCGTAGGACCGGCTGGTCACTGGACAATGGAGAGGACCTTTTTCATTGAACCGCTGACCAAGGAACCCACTCCCAATGGTACCCACCTTCATGCCGTTTACAAAGTGGGCGACTCGAAAGAGAACGTTCACTTGGGGAGTTGTGGTGTATCAACTAACCAAAGCCAAGACCATGCATCACCACTAGACCTTGCTGAGGGTATTTTGAATGTGGACACGGACACGGTGCACACTCACCAGCGCACTAAACGCCAGACATCCTCATCGGTCACACGCTATGTGGAGTTACTACTGGTACTGGATGCAACACTCTATAAAAGCTCTAGAGTAAATCGAGACTTGACCGTTGCTGCAAATCGGGCTCGTTCTGTCGCTAATTTTGTCGATTCGTTGTACAGACAACTGAACATCCGAGTGCCATTGGTGGCTGTGGAGATTTTCAACATGGGAAACCGCTTTGTCACGTCAAGCATAGCAGATACAATGCTCGACAATTTTCTCGCATACAGAACTGCTCAACTTGTGGGTCGTATTGCCCATGACAATGCACAACTAATGTCTGGGATAGACTTTGCTGGCTCCACAACTGGAATTACTCCTGTCTCCGGTATGTGCTCATCAGCAAGATCTGCAGGTGTCAACCAAGACACAGCGTCAGCGTTCTCAGCGGTAGCGGGCACAATGGTGCACCAAATGGGTCACAATCTCGGAATGGGCCATGACAATGGCCGCATCTGTACATGCACAGCTTCATCTAGTGCAGGCGGATGCATAATGGCTACTCACAACTCCCGTGTTCTACCGTCGGTATGGTCCAGCTGCAGCCGCTCTGATCTCAGCACTTTTCTATCACGCGGTGCTAGCTCGTGTATGGACAACCAGCCAACAACACTATTTGGTGACCCGGTATGCGGCAATGGGTTTGTGGAGGGCACCGAGCAATGTGATTGTGGCACAGCAGCACAGTGCACAACAACATGTTGTAATCCAGCTACATGTCGTTTCACCACCGGTTCTCAATGCAGCGATGGTCCATGCTGTCAAAACTGCCGCTATCGGGCTACGGGCACGCTCTGCCGCTCCGCTGTGAACAGCTGCGACGTAGCTGAGACATGTTCAGGCTTGACGCACACTTGTCCCGATGATATCTTTGCACAGAACGGTCAGACTTGCGGTTCGGGGTCATTGGCATCATTTTGCTACGATGGACAATGCAACACTCACGATACCCAGTGCAAGAGAACATGGGGAATGCCTGCATCCGTTGCTCCTCAGATCTGCTACGATCAAAACACGCAGGGCTCCGGCAATGCCAACTGCGGTTCCACGTCAACCAACTACTTGAGATGCGCAGCCACTGATGCTCGTTGTGGTCGTCTTCAATGTATCGGCGGAGCACCCTATACCATAATCTCGTCAACAAGCCGAACAAGCACCATAACAATAAGATATAGCCAAGGCACAGTGGTCTGCAAATCCAGTACAATCCCACGAACTTCGGACATGGTCGATTTCAGCTTAGTGGCCGACGGTTCTCCATGTGGATCAAGCTCTCTTTGCGTCAGCCAACGTTGCAGATCGATAAGTTCACTTGGCATTACACCATGTCCATCAAGTGGTGGTAGGGTGTGTGCAGGAAATGGTGTGTGCACAAATCTCAACTCATGCTTGTGTAACCGTGGCTGGACAGGTGCTGACTGCTCACGTCCTGTGAATGGTCAGTGGAGTCCTTGGACAGTGTGGTCAGGCTGCTCCCAATCCTGTGGTACAAGTGGCGTAAGAACACGCACTCGGGACTGTGATAATCCGCCGCCAAGTAATGGTGGTACGGTATGCCGTGGTGCAACTAGTGAACGAGAAACATGCAACCTTGTTCAATGTCCCACACCTGTCAATGGTAACTGGACACCATGGGGTGCATGGTCTGGATGCTCGGCTACATGCGGAGGTGGAACTCGTTTTCGTCTACGTACGTGCAGCAACCCACCACCATCCAATGATGGATCACAGTGTTCTGATTCCTTTCTAGCTTCAGAGCAATGTAACACCGCAGCCTGTCCAACATGGGGACCATGGGGCCCGTACAGCTCATGTTCCAAAACGTGTGGTGGAGGTGTTAGTGTTCGTTCACGCTTATGTCCTTTACCAGGTGAATGCTCTCCTGGTGCCGCCACGTATTCTGTTCAATGCAATACCCGTACCTGTGGACCTGGTCCTGTTGACGGTGGCTGGTCAGTTTGGTCCGGCTATTCTCCATGTTCCGCTACTTGCGGCTTTGGCTCACACATGCGAACGCGTTCTTGCAACCAGCCATCGCCAGCCAACGGTGGCAGGAGCTGCAGGCCTGATGGTTTGGCAGTGGAAACCAACTCTATCCGCTGCCAGAGACCTTCCTGTTCTCAATGGAATATCTGGGGAGCCTGGTCAGGCTGCTCCCGTACCTGTGGTATCGGTGTACGTGTGCGCAGGAGAACATGTCCATTTGCTAACAATTGCCCAGGATCAGCCACAGATACTGGCAGCTGTAACGTATCAGCATGTGATATGTCCATACCTGGTCAGTGGACACAGTGGACAGGTTGGAGTCAAGTAGGTACTTGTTATGGCTGTCCACGAGGTAGCTACAGGCAAAGGACTCGCAACTGCACAAGTCCAAAGCCAATGAAAGGAGGCGCTCAGTGCTTGGGTGTAGGTGAACAGCGCGGGCCATGTCCTGTGTGCCAAGATGGTAGTTTCAGTGACTGGTCAGAATGGCGTGGAAACTGCGATGAAGAACATAGCCAAAGTCGAATGCGAGCATGCACCAGCCCACCACCGACTAATGGTGGACTCAACTGCTCCGGTCCAACAACTGATGAGCGCATTTGTCCCAGGTTCTTGCCATGGAGCGATTGGGCTGATAGTGGCAATTGTTCACTATGCGGTGAAGATCCGGTAAACAACATTCAAGTTCGCCATCGTCAATGTAACACAACTCGGATTGCCGCATGCACAGGTGACCTGAATCAGACTCGGACTTGCCCGGCATGCACCTCAGAAACCAACTCTACCTCCTGCCAGGGACCTTCCTGTTCTCAATGGAATATCTGGGGAACCTGGTCAGGCTGCTCTCGTACCTGTGGTATCGGTGCACGTATGCGCATGAGAACATGTCCAGTTGCTAACAATTGCCCAGGATCAGCCACAGATACTGGCAGCTGTAACGTATCAGCATGTGATATGTCCATACCTGGTCAGTGGACACAGTGGACAGGTTGGAGTCAAGTAGGTACTTGTTATGGCTGTCCACGAGGTAGCTACAGGCAAAGGACTCGCAACTGCACAAGTCCAAAGCCAATGAAAGGAGGTGCTCAGTGCTTGGGTGCACGTGAACAGCGCGGACCATGTCCTGTGTGCCAAGATGGTGGTTTCAGTGACTGGTCAGAATGGCGTGGAAACTGCGATGAAGAACATAGCCAAAGTCGAATGCGAGCATGCACCAGCCCACCACCGACTAATGGTGGACTCAACTGCTCTGGCCCAACAACTGATGAGCGCATATGTGCCAGGTTCTTGCCATGGAGCGATTGGGCTGATAGTGGTAGTTGTTCACTATGTGGTGAAGATCCGGTAAACAACATTCAAGTTCGCCATCGTCAATGTAACACAACTCGGATTGCCGCATGCACAGGTGACCTGAATCAGTCTCGGACTTGCCCCGCATGCACCTCAGAGCAGGCTGGCGGAGTATCAGGAGGCGCTATTGCTGGTATTGTTGCTGCTCTGCTCGCCATTCTGGCAGTTGCTGTTGCTGTCATCCTTATTGTGACATGAAACAATCTGGCAGTGGCTCCACAATTCTGCCGCCGAGGTGTGGCAGTTTGTCAGAGGGGGGACACTAGGCAGAGTGAGTATGTCTTGGCCAGAGACTCACATAAGCCCAAAGCCGCCGTCATCCTACCGTCGCGCACAGCCAACAGCCAACCCCCTCCACGACCGAACCAGGCACCGCCGCCTCGACCTGTGGTTGCATTTTCTACGCCGCTGGCCTAAAGAAGAGAAGACTGCATAAAGAGAGAACCTGTTGAGCGATGATGATAGAACCGACTTAAAAAGTTGATTACACAATCATTGTGATGTTGGAGTACATGTACACTGTACCAGTCTACGGTGATGTATTTCTAATGACCATGGAACCCCAACACTCACACAGATGCACACCCCCCCCCCCACACACACACGCGCACACACACACACGCACACACACACGCATCCCCCCCCCCACACACACGGGCATACACACTGCAGCTCCGTATTCTTGTGCCTGCGTTCGGTGAGCCTCGAGACATTCTTATAAATATGTTATGGCGTGGCGGCATACTTCACTTTTGCTTCTGCACTCTGTGTGTGATGTAAACTTGTTAACCTGTACAGTCCGTATCGCCTATAAGGTTGGCGGCTATAGTAATATACCGGATATAGTGATCAATTTCTCAAATTCATTTTCATTTGCCATAACTTTAAGTATACACAGTTATCGCGTATAGTAATAATCGTCTATAGTAATATATCGCCTATAGCGATCAAATTCATATTTCAAAAGACGTTTATTACACTATTTTTGCATCGGTTATAGTGATTGATGTAAAATCAAGTGATGTCAGAGGAGAACAGGGTGTTACTTCTTCGTGAAGAACTTGTCCAGTGAGTGTTGTTTGGTGAGTTTTGCTTGTACAAGTTGCCAAAATATGCCTCCATCATGAGGAAATCCTGATTTTGTGTGTCCAGAGCTACAGCCAGCTACATGACATGGTACATGTATGTGGTGCGTATGTGCACGGTGCGCTGAGTCGTTTGACACCCCACTCGCATACATTGCATGCAGTATCGGTCATAGTAATAATTATATCGCTATAAATATAGTGATAAAATGCTCAAAATCAAACTCCAACGCTATAGGCGACACTGCCTGTATTATGTGTGCGGCTTTTGACACTCTGACACTCTGACACCCTTATCTGTACATGTATCATACGTATAGTATAGCACTCAGCAGTTCTCGGGTTTCATTTGTTGAAGTAAATAGTTGACAGTGTGTGTGTTTTAGGACTGTTTTGAAATAATTTTTCCCTTTGTTTCCTGTTCTGCTGTCGCATGCGTATTAGCAGCTCATTGACCCCGCTCGTTCCTCATTCCATTTGGCCTGAGCGAAGACTAGCCAAGCTTGCTTGGCGATGTCAACGCGAAAAGGCTGATAATAATAAGCAGTTCACTTCCCCGATAGCCCTTGGCGGATTATGCTGGCATAATTTCTGGCATAATCTTCGGGTTTTGTCTAAAAATTATGCCCTGTCCTAAAATTATGCCCTGGCATAAAGGACTTCTGAGACCCGACGTCAGACGATCGGCATAACCTTACGATGCTGGCTGAAGATTAATGCTGCAGGCATATTTAGGCATGTTATAGGAAATAACCAGGTAAATGTTTTACCCCTTTTAAGCCGTGCTGCCATGGTGCCAGAGTCGTTGCAACATTCTAAAGTGCAAAAAGAGTGCAATGGCATAGTATAGCATCCTCATTGGCATAATTCCAGCATAATGTAGCATAATCACTGGCATATTTAGGCATAATGGAAAGCATAATTCAGCAATTTACAGAGCATAATCCGCCAAGGGCTATTCCCCGACTGATCCTTTGAATTTGAAGTTCTCCCAATCCTTTCAAAATAATAATAATAATTTGGAAAGGATTGGGAGAACTTCATATTCAAAGGATCAGTCGGGGAAGTGAACTGCCTGAAAAGAGAAAAAAAAGTCCTGGTGGGTCTGGCGTTTTTCTCTTTTCAGGCAGTTCACTTCCCCGACTGATCCTTTGAATAATAATAATAATAATAATAATAATAATATAAAATCTTGTAGGACGCATCAGTGTTGCTCACAACCAATTTTTTAATAATAATAATAATAATAATAATAATAATAATAATAATAATAATAATAGTCATGAGCAATGCTCTAACCACTGAGCTATGGGACCAGGCTGAACCTAGAAGGCGCTGACAAGTTTTTCACTCCAAAGGCAGCTCACAACACGTGCCACACATACTGATGGCACTTGGGTCTTTTTCCCTCCCCCAGGGGACCAACCACGGTCAGTTTCTGGAAACTACCAGAGGTGAAAGAAAGTGATTAAATTTGGAAAGGATTGGGAGAACTTCAAATTCAAAGGATCAGTCGGGGAAGTGAACTGCCTGAAAAGAGAAAAAACGCCAGACCCACCAGGACTCGAACCTGGGACCCTGCTTGTCATGAGCAATGCTCTAACCACTGAGCTATGGGACCAGGCTGAACCTAGAAGGCGCTGACAAGTTTTTCACTCCAAAGGCAGCTCACAACACGTGCCACACATACTGATGGCACTTGGGTCTTTTTCCCTCCCCCAGGGGACCAACCACGGTCAGTTTCTGGAAACTACCAGAGGTGAAAGAAAGTGATTAAATTTGGAAAGGATTGGGAGAAACTTCAAATTCAAAGGATCAGTCGGGGAAGTGAACTGCCTGAAAAGAGAAAAAACGCCAGACCCACCAGGACTCGAACCTGGGACCCTGCTTGTCATGAGCAATGCTCTAACCACTGAGCTATGGGACCAGGCTGAACCTAGAAGGCGCTGACAAGTGTTTCACTCCAAAGGCAGCTCACAACACGTGCCACACATACTGATGGCACTTGGGTCTTTTTCCCTCCCCCAGGGGACCAACCACGGTCAGTTTCTGGAAACTACCAGAGGTGAAAGAAAGTGATTAAATTTGGAAAGGATTGGGAGAACTTCAAATTCACTTCCCCGACTGATCCTTTGAATTTGAAGTTCTCCCAATCCTTTCCAAATAATAATAGTAGTAATAATAGCTGTGCAAGTGTCACTAGTATTCTATTAAATTCACCTGGACGACAATACTAGCGCCAAGAGTACATTAGCTCCCTGGGAACTTATAATGTTATATATATTTATGTATACAATAAATGAGGAGGCCGAGGGTTTATGACCAATAAAAACTATTATAAAAACCGAGGTCCCGAGGTTTTTATTATTAGTTTTTATTGGTCCTAAACCCAAGTCCAGAGCATTTATTGTATTTAGAATCAACCAGTAAAAACTCCTACTCAATCTCCAACAACAAAATTAGTGGAAACCTGTTATTTGTGTTTCTATGACAACTTGTGTGCTGGACGAGTATTTGTTGTCATTGGTTCAATTTCTTTCACTCTTCATCGGCTATCAGATCATTTTCCTTATTCGGTCTATTTATGACCAGTATCTATATGGGAGTGTGATCTGTCTCCATGGTTACTGTTTTTACCTCTCGTCTTGATTCACCATTCCACAAACGTAACGTCGTTACTGTATTATTACTCTTTCATTCTCATGCCAAACAGCTAACTAACTTTCCTAAAACAAGAACAAAAACTAGTGACTTGCACCGCGGAAGCAGGAACCTAAAACTCACACACCAAGGAAAACAAGCCTCCTCTACGCCTACGGATCACGGACTGCAATCCCGATCCGAGCGTAGCGGCAAATGATACTGTATACTACTAGTAGTACAAGTAGATGACAAAAGCGGTGCTGGTGTTAGGTGACAGCTGCATACGAATGCATGAAAGGGGTCAGACAGTTCATGTATCATGTGTACCGGCAGTTGTAACTGGAGCCGACTGAAAGTCAATACTGTAAATCAACTAATTTTCGCTGGCGATTTAATTTCGCTGATATCGCCGCTGGGTGCCAACCGCCAAAGTAAATCGCAGGCCAAAATTTGTCATAGAGGCAAATGATGCATTATTGAGCCATGGCTGTATGTGAGGGCAACAAATACCAATCGATTTCTTTTTTGAAAACCCCAATGGGCTTAAATAACGGCCAAAAGTTTCATTTCAAGATCGGCCAAAGTTTCTCATTGGCCAAAATTTGTTGATTTACAGTACATCAATAGCAGTGTTAGTCATACATGAAGCCCAGACTACAGAAAGTGTAGCAGTGGATACAAAGTAAGTTGCATGCGACGAGTGTTGCTTGTCGCCAACGTCGCCTAGGGGCAACAGTTACCGGTGTTCTTTTCATAACTACATGTATAACCACTTCTTCTTGTTAGACCTTATCTGGAAGGCCCATTCTTGCATATTCCAACAGCAGCCAAGGGAGCTAGCTCTCTTGGTTATGCGGATTGGGTCCGATCCTAAAAAGCTGTTTTTATAAACTGTTTTTATGAACTGTTTTTATAAACTGTTTTTATCAACTGTTTTTATAAACTGTTTTTATTGGATAGGATATGATTATGTTGAATAAACGAGGTTTGTGTCTATTGGAGATTGACTTGGAGTTTTTACGAGTTGATTCTAAACCATAATAAATGTAGAGCTGAAGGATTTATTGCAATTACATACCAGTATAAAAACCGAGGCAAAGCCGAGGTTTTATAACTGGTATGTAATTATCCTAAGGCTACTACATTTACTATACATACATGTATGTCAGGGTTCTAGCCAAAGGGGGTAGGGTGGCGCAGCGCCCCCTACTCTGTTTCCGCGCCCCCTGTGAAAAATTGCCGCCCCCCTACTCATTTTCGGATTTTCGTGTTTTTCATGCATAGATGGTCCATAAAGGCACATTTGTCTTGGGGTGAAGTCAGGGATTCGCCCCATACATTGCATTTGGCGTGGCAAGACAATATTGGAAAGTGGAAAAATGGGATATATACAGTGGTGGCCAAAAGTTTTGACCCACCCCATGGAATCGTCAGTACAGCTCAGCCTGGCTCCTAAACACGCCGTTTTTGACTTCTTTGAGGCCAAAGCCGATTGAAACTTGGCAAGGACACTAAAATTTGAAAGAATCCGTTGTCAACTGAGATTTGTGATGGATCACGATACATTTGGGTGGGTCAAAACTTATGGCCACGTGACCAAATTTTGCTCTACCGTACCGTACGGTTTCAAAAAAGTTGTCAGGCTGATGCACGTGCCGGGAAAGTTGAAAATCAACACTTGACTTCTCACTTTGAGAGTTTGCGATATCAAACTTGATTATTTTGACGACGGAGATGGTATTTTCAGCCAGGATAGTGAACCGAGGTCAGATTAGCAAGGATGTGAGGGAAATGGTCGTGAAGCTGAGTGTTGACGGTCTCTTTTGGCGTGGTATCGCTCCTCTGTTGGATTTGAGTAATCCTACGATACGTAGAATTGTCAGGAAACAAAAATTGACTACATTTCACGTCGATCAGACCGACCAAGAGAGACCAGTGCAAGACAAGATCGCCACCATATCATGAAGTCAATGGAGAATCGCCTCAAATCCATCACTGCCTGCGAGCTGAGATGGTGAGCGACGGTGATAACGCGATTTCTGTGCGTTCTGTGAGACGCAAGTTGCAGAGAGCAGGCCTTCGTGGCTGTATGGCCATCAAATGGCCCTTCATCAGTGCTGTGAATAAGGCAAAACGCCTTAAATTTGTATAGACGCACAAGGACTGGAGCAGTGATGACTGGTGGTAAATTCTGTGGACTGATGAGTCTAAAATCAACCTCAAGGGCTCTGGTGATGCAGTTTACGTCAGGAGGTGGACAGGATAGGCTCTGGCTGGCACATGTACCCGCAAAACTGTGAAGCGCCGCGACGGCAATATCAATGTATGGGAGCCATGGCCAGCAACGGCGTAGCGCGCATTTGCCGGGTGATGGATACGATGAATGCGGACCAGTACCTCGCATCATCCG